TAAAGCCTGGCTTCACTATGCGTTTTCTGCGTGCGTTTTTGCAGGTTTGCGTGTTTTGCGTAATATCGTTCTAGGAAAAAAGTTATAAACAATATAATTTTTACTTTGGTTATATACAAAAGCTAATATAACTCTTATGTAACTAAAATTTAAGGTGAAAAACATCACAAAAACGTAATATCGTTCCTTTTTCTAGAACGATATCACGCAAAACACGCAAACACGCAAAAAACGCACGAAGAAAACGCATAGTGTAGCCAGGCCTTTAAACTGGAGAGGTTTAACCCGCGCCCTGCTGGGGGGGGGGGGGGGTGTTTGAACACCCGCCTTGTGGTTTTTCGCGAATATCTCAAAAACGGCGGCGCGATACGGATCGACTGATATGCAACATGACCCTTTCCGGTCAGGTCATGACCTTGACCTGAGGTCAAATTTTCAAGTTGACCTTTAAGGTCAAGTTATAGTTCATTCGATGCGTATTGACGAGAGGAACACGATGCCGGTGAAAGTAAGCTCGTACAAGGCTTGGGTCAAAAGTTATTGCAGAAAAACTGTTTCCGAAAAAATCGGTTTTTTTGCAGTTTTTGGCCCCTGCAGGCAAAACCGTTGACGTTAGGTCAAATCTGAGAGAATTCTTCAGAAAGGGGGTTAATAGGGCTATCGAATGCGCTTTTCCGCGGCGCTGTAGCTCTTTCGGTTCCCGAGTTATGCGTTGCCTTTTTTGAAATTTTGCCTTCAATGACCTCTGGTGACCTGACCTTTGACCTGACCAAAAAATTAACCGAAATGATTTCGTCATTATTTTTGACGCTCTTTCGAACGCCGCCTTCTGCGTATCGCTACGTGGCCCAGGAGCCGAGTTACAAGGGGGGGTGTTCAAACACCCCCCCCCCCCCCCAGCAGGGCGTGGAAATTAAAGGTGGCAAAAGATGAAAATTTTGGGAACCAGACTCGAACCAGACCCGGCTGGACATTTCTGGAACCAGTCGGACCCGGTCTTAGTTGGAATCGGAACCAGTTGGACCCGTTCCCCAAAAGTCAATTAATACAAACTACTTGTAAGTATCATTAGTTGCACCATGTAAAACAGCCTATTTCCCACTGAAAATACTCATGAGGTACTGTGCGCCAAGAAACATTCACTTCCTTCACTTCATATTTTGCAATAATGTGTAGTGTGCAAGATGTATAGTTTATGGAAGGACCCGGTTGGACCCGTCAGAAAATTTCCCGGAACCGGTCTGGACCCATATGGGTCCAGACTGGTTCTTTGGACCGGGTCCTCGGGTCCACATTTTGCCACCTCTAGTGGAAATCCAGGACCCCCAGCCGGGCGCGGGTTAAGTACCTAGACTTGGTTCGTCATAGCCGTTCTATTCTGTATACTTATATAATCACATGAGACTATCGCCAACTTAATTAAATGCAATGACGCATAGGCTCCGTATCTGTTGCATAGCTATAATAAATAACATTTCAATTCGGGTAGCTACCTTCTATTGTGCATATGATAGAATAACTTTTGCCAACTTTTCAGGGAACTCAGATCTGTTTTTCAATAGAAAAACACAATTCTAACGAAAAGTGTTTTAATTATTGACAAGAAACCTTCGGTAACTAAAATACCGCAACGACAACGATCAAGTAATTACCATAATCATTTTCACAACATGACTTTTACACCGTGTTTATCACATGAGTTTCCAAATATCTAAGCGCCACGATCCTATCTCCCCACGACAGAAGTCCTCGGTGAGAGCAGCGGGAAACAGGCAGAGAGTGAGAGATGGGCGCGTCCGGGAGGGACGGGTCGGCGGGGCCCGGCACGGGGTGGCCCAGTAAAGCAGAGGCTGGCCGGTCGGCCGGCCTGCTCATATCCGATCGGTATCGGACCGCCCGGACGTCGCTCGGTCCCGTTAGCTGGCGGGCGGGCCGCCTCCGCAGGACCCCGTGCCGACCGAGCCACTGACCCGGTCAACCCGGCGTCGGCCTCCGCGACCGTCCTCCGAACTCCGCTGAGGTTCGCGGCGGACTCCCGCTAGCGCCGGCCTCCCGCTGAGGATAGCGCCGGCCTCGGCCGAGGCCAGTGTCACTGGAGAGATAACTGTTCGTGACGTGATAGTTCGGTGAAAATGAATCGTCGGCTTTCGAAATGAACTCGAGACGTTTAGCAGCGACTAGCGCAGGGAGCGTCAGGAAAACAAGCGCTGCTGTAATATTATACAGATAATAAGCAGTCATAATATACGGACTCGCCTTTCGCTTAGCTCTTGATAGGGTCCTGGTGGTGAAGGGGGACACGCGTCAGTTTGCGGAGAGACGGTGCCGAGTTCCATTCCCAGTGTTACTTGTCCTTTAGACTGAGCTGTATTACTTTCCATAGGAAGTTGGATGCAGCCTCTCGTGGTTGCTGCAGAGTGCAGATTTAGGGCTTGGTGCAGAAAAGAAACTATCAGATAGTTCAATTTGAGTTTCGTTAATATCATCGATTGTCAACCATAATACGGATGGAAGCGTGCAATAAAAACGGTGCGGATATGGTAAATGAGTTCGCTTGCGAATTATTCACATGTTAGCAAAATATACCGTTTCCAATCATTGTTACGTCATTTTTTCCAAATTGGAGAAATGAATTTTTGTTGTAAAATACACACAACGTACCAACTGTTTTCATTTGGCATGTTTCGAGTAACATTGTTCTAACACATTATGGTTGAGGGCTCAATTTTAACCCGGCAGGCGGTGGGCCTCCCGGCCACCTTCCGCGCGGTGGGGGGGGGCATTTTTTGCCCCCCCCCCCCTGTATCTCCGAAACTACTGGGTGGATCCGTAAAATTCAAAGGGCATTCGATAGCCCTGTCAAATTTGTTTAGGGGAAACCAAATTTCATTTACCTCGGGGTCACCGATGACGTCACAGGTCAGGTCAAAGATAAAATATTTCACCGTTCACGGGTCTTCTACGGAATGCGCTATAACACCGAGTAAAACGCATTTTGTCGAAAATCAGCGATCGAAACTTCAGTTGCCTAGTACATATGTTGCTATTAGAGGTCACTGATAATACCAGGTCAGGTCACAGGTCAGGTTACCAAGGGTCAGCACATGAACCCAACTTTACGAATGTTGTGCTATGCATGTTTTATGGCCAATTTTTCGTTTCCAATTCAATGGTGTTGGTTATAAGACCATCAAGTACGGTTTAGGTCACTTTCTGGTGGAGGTCAGGTCAAGGTCAGGTCAAAAAAGGTCAAATTTCAAAGCTGATAGTTTTGCATAAAATGGGTAATAACCATTGCCAATACCCATCCATCAATACAAATGGGTATTGATTCGATGCAACTCGTCACGGGAAGTCTAGTGGTGGTCTTTATTTTGCGCCACGAGGTCTGGCATTGCTAATAAAATGAGTTTGAAAATTTGACGTCATCAATTTTGAAACAGTTTTTTCGCTATTACTTGGCCAAAAAAGAGGTATCGATCTCAAATTTGGTATGTGGAAAGAAGGTGGTACGGACTACCAAAAATATTTCGTTTTTTCAAATTGAAAAAATAGGAGTTTTTGGCTATTATATTCAAAAATTCTATTTTATATTTTTTGGGGTCAAAATCCAAAAATTTCAAAATCCGAGATGGCAAACTTGTAGCCCTGTTGATTCTATAACTTTTATGTTGAAGCATATTTCTGTATCTCTAAAGCTGTAGGCCTGACAGCTGTTTCCGCGAAACCTTTTTTGGGTCGAAAATGGCAGAAATGACCTCACTCCGACGTCATTAGCGGCCAACCTATCATAGCCTTTGGAAAAATGTTTGGTCACGATGTGCAAAAGCTATTCACGGGAGGGTACTGAAAGTTTGGCGACGACCGGCGCAGCGGTTCTGGACATATATCGAAAAAACTAAAGGGGCAAAAATGCCCCTGCCGCCTGGAAGGTTAAAATACCTTTACGTTTACTACAATATGTTACGTCTTTACTTAGTAAAGAGCAAGTAGTCTACAAGTATATTAAAGAAACAATTACATATAATGAAGGTTTTGACTATAAAAGACTTCTTTGGCGCTTTAAATACTTTTTCTTCAGCGTTTAAAAAGCGCCGAAGAAGTCTGTTATAGACGAAACCGGTCCGCTGAATTATTTGTAATTGCTTCTTTAATATATTTGTACACTACTTGCCCTTTACTGCATACTTCACCAAGATATCTATTATCTACATGCAACACGTATTTACTTATTTCATGTTATTAGTTATGTCTTTAAATGTTATTACTTACCATCGAGACATTTATCATGATATTCGATGAGCTATGTTTGGGTACAGGCCTGATCAAACCTGAGTGAAGCGGGTCGAGGGGTAACATACGTTTGAACGTACCACCCAATTTATCATTACTCGGTCATCGACATCATCATCGACATCATTAAAGGAAATATGGCAGGATAAGTAATCGATTGTTTAGTTGTTACAATTGAAATACATTTGTCTGTCTTTTACATAGTCGACCGTGGATATAATGGAAAAGTAAGTTATAAGTAAGTAAGTAAATAATAAGTAAGCAATAAGTAAGTAATAAGTAAGTAATAAGTAAGTAATAAGTAAGAAAAAAATAAATTTGCAACTTAAATGGATGACCTGTAACCTATTTCTTTATTAATTAATCACGAAGGACGCCGAAACACTATGGGAAAACCATGAGAGAAAAGAGAAAACTAATCGAAGAATAGAGGCTGTCAAAGAAACAGACAACTCATCACATTCCTATATCGAAAACCGGCCATAAAAACGTCGGCATCGTCTGATCTGGGACCGCGCCACAAAAGCGGCACGACACCAGTTCTTCATGTCCGGCGGCCGGCGCTCGTGAAAGGGGCCACTGGAAGTGGCGTCCGCCGCGCGGCCAACTAGTCTGTCCCACATCGGATCGGCTTGGCGGCGCACGGCCTGCGGGCAGGCGACGATTGGCCGCGGGCCGACCCACCCCGCCCGTTCCGCTGGTATCTGATGAAGGGTCGGCCGGACTCGCACTCAGTCGACCCGTCGCTGTGCCCGGCCATGGAGTCCCGCCGGAGCGCGCTGCTGCTGCCCTGGCTGCTGCTGCTGCTGCTGTCCCTCACCGGCGCCGTGAGTAGATGGTGGATACAGACGGAGAGTGGTGGATATGATCTCACCGAGTGGCAGTGGAGTATGAGACGGCTCACACGGAACTTACACTCAGTGCACTTGAGCATTCAACCGTGAAATGTCGATATCCCTATATTTTAAATCACGTAGAGTAGGTACCAAAACTCTTACAAGAGACCTAACAAGAGAAAATTATTGTCACGAAAATGGTGAAACATCAAAATTCATGGCATTTGGAATGAACCATAGACATGTCGTTTGGTTAATCATAGATATTTCCATAGATAACATGAATCTATGATAATCTATGATTCATGTTATCTATGATATTTCCTATCAGCTTATGCCAATTATGGCGTTAGCAAGGAAACGCTAAAAATCAACAGCAGGCAAACTTTATACGACAAATCAACGTATTTAGATGCGACTAACGGCCGCCATGCTGGCCTTTCTAAATGATATTAGCCGTTTTCACGACGGGCTATGCGGCGAATGCACCTGATTTGACCAAATCTGCACCTAATTTCTTTTACAGCAAATATCTCCATTTCATGAATTTATTTTAGTGTTTTAATCGATGATGCTCTCTGATAATATGACAAAGCAGGCATATAAGCAATTAGTGCAATTCTAGCTGATAGCTGCTAAGAGACACACTGAACCTGATTTGACCATATCTGCACCTGATCTGTACCAGATGTGCACCAAATGTGTACCAGATGGCCGTCGTGAAAACGGCTATTGTGCGTTGTTTGGTCCAAAAACGACGCAAAAGTAGATATTATTGGTATTTACATAGCAAATATTTGTGTACGCTTTCGAGATAAATATAACTGGCAAAAAAACATTCGAGAATGGCCATTCTCAGTCAGCCAGCAATTGCGATGTTCAAACACACCAGGCAGTTTGTTTTGTGACACTGCTTGAATTGCTGGGGTCACCCCATGCTTCGACCGCTGTATAGCAATTACAAAGCTGAGCCAGAATTGGAGCCTAGCACGCAATGTCACATGTTTACATGTAAATGCAGGGTGCAAGGTTAAGGGTAAGGTGTGCATTGCACGCGATTTGTAGTAAAAACTAAGTGCCTGTGTGATATATTACGCTAAGCTTTATATGGTTCCCTGCGACTCACTGACTTTCACTGTATTTATGAATTATGAATAACAAATAAAAAGAAGGATTCAGAATAATCATGAGACCCGGCCAAGATAATCGCTTTACTTCTTTCCTCTCAAATTTGATCAAATGGATGCCCAATATTCCGTAGTGAGAATGACTTAATGATTCTTTAGCAGGTTTTCAGCTCGGGAGCAACTGTTACTTATTTAACCCTCGCCGGCCGAGGGGGGGGGGGCGGGTGCCGCCCCCCCATAGGGTTTTTTCGCGATAACTCCGAACACGCTGGCGATAGAGAGCTGAAACTTGGCATACCTGACCTTTGATCCAAGCCGCATCTTTTGACACCAACCGCATTTTTGGGTCAGGTCAGGTCACTGACCTATGACGTCATAAGTGAACCTCTGCACGGTCTTCAGATGTCGCAACTTTGCAACGCCCTCACTGCCAGAGGAGATGTCACAGGGAAATGAAACTTGCAGGATCTAGTATCCATTATGAGTCTCACAACTTGTATATCTCGGATTTTTCCTAAAGGTCATATGAGGTCAGGTCATTTTCGTGACCTCACCATTATAAGTCAATGGGGGAAAATGAAAACTGCTATTCTGGCACTGGGAACGATCTCCAACTATCTCAAGCACACAGAATCGTGATTTGATGCACTCCTTGCAAGGTTAGATGCGTCACTTTTGCAATGTTGACCTTGCGTGACGTCATTTATGACGTCATCAAGGTCATATTAGTTTTTCGTCAATAACTCTTGATCAAATTGAGCTAGCGAGTCCAGAAAGCCACCAATGGACTCAGGAAGACCTGCCGAATCGAATGATATGCGACATGACCTCTTTCGACCAACTTCGTGACCTGGGGGTGCTGACCTGACCTTGACCTGAGGTCAACACCCTAAGTTGACCTGACCCGGACAAAAAGTATATCATTCGACGCGCCTGAGCGAGGCGAACACGATGCTGCCAAAATCGCGGCTCTGCAGCCGTTTTTTGCGAAGTTATTCACTAAAAACTGAACCGTACCCTGGGGCACTTGACCTGACCTCAGAGGTCACCGGTTGACCTAGGACCTTAAAATCGGGTACCAATCTCTGCGTCTCGTAACGGCGCACACGCTCGTTTTTTCCGCGACGCGCTAGCTCCACCAGGGGCGAAACGGCGAGGGGGGGGTCGTACCCGCCCCCCCCCCCCTCGGCCGGCGCGTATGTAGAAAACCAATAGGTCCGGCGAGGGTTAACTGATTTATCCAATTATGAGACATAATGCCCGATTGAAACATTAACATAAATTCATGATATGAAGGTATTTGTTGTATGTAAAAAAGACCTGGCTAGATTTGGTGAAGTTTGATGCATTGGCCAGATATCCTGTCGTTGAAACGGGTATCATACGAAAAACGTTCTTATCGGTTCATGTGACATATGGGAACAATTCATGTGACATATGGGTGAACAGTACTAAGTGCCATTGCTTGGATATCCACTATGCATGCACGAAGCCATGTCCGTCTGACCTTGCTCTCTCCCCTACTCTCTCTCTCTCTCTCCCTCTCTCTCTCTCTCTCTCTCTCTCTCTCTCTCTCTCTCTCTCCCTCCCTCTCTCCAGAGCGCTGTCGGTGATGCGGCGGCCGCAGCGCCCCAGGACGCTGACCTGACCGGTCGGGTCGCCGAGTCGTGGCTGAAACCTCTGCTAGTCGAGCCTGAGGAGCCGCAGGAGGCGTTCACGGAGCGTGTGCCGCTGCCGGAGGTCACCCAGGCGGTGCCGGAGTCGTGGCTGCGTCCGGTGCCCGTGGAAACCCTGGTGGGGGTGCCGGGAGATGAGCTGACGGGCCGCGCGCCGCCGGCTGCGGCGCTGGAGGCAGAGCTGACGGGCCGAGCACCCCCGGCTGCAGCCCTGCAGGAGGATCAGGAGGGCCGATCGGTGGAGGCCGTTCAGCTGCGATGGGTAACGCCGATTCAGCTGCTGCTCTCAAAGCCGCAGGCGGTGCAGGACGGCGCCAGACGTGAGTTTGATACGATGGGCATCTAAACTTCGTGGGGGCTCTGTAACAGACGATATGATATCGTCGTTTATCGAATAGTTAATCGAGATATTTTGTAGCGTGTTAGGGGCTCAGAAAAGAGCACCAAAATACAAAATGAATATGGATTAATACTTTCATTCATTCATTCATTCATTCATTCATTCATTCATTCATTCATTCATTCGTTTATTCATTCATTCATTTCTTCATTCATTCATGCATCAAAAATAAAATATGAATTGATTACACTGAATTAAAGCGGCGGTACTGACAAAGGGTTCTTTTCCAGTTCCGAATTCCGGAAAATTCCGGATTCCTGAGGGCTTCCAGGTGACTTTCACGTCACCCAACTATCCGAAACTCTACCCGCCCTACGTCTGGACCACGTGGTACTTTGTGGTATGTGGATACACTTGTTTCTCTATTGTACCTGCTCAATGTTCTTCATGGTGGAAATTTGAATCGTACGCCTAGGCCCTTTTTATTCAAATTAGTTTCCACATGCTTTTCGAAGTTCGTTTGCCTATTGGTTGTAATTGCTTATTTATTGCTCTGCTTAGGTTGCATATTTCTTCACATTTTTACCCAAATCTCGAAATGTGCAAAGAGGGTAAATTTTTTCACATGGTGAACACTGAACACCTCAATACAGTCTTATTCGGATGACGAGAGCTCCCCTTTCGTCCCTTCTCCACAGACGGACAACCCGGCCTCCACGGTGAGTCTGAGCTGCAGCACGTTTGAGCTCGGCAGGGGCGACTACCTGATTGTGACCGGGGACGGCCAGCGGAACGTCTACTACTCAGGCTCGGGCACACCCTCGGACTCCGCCTCCGGAGAGCTGCAGGTCGAGTTCCGCTCCAACAGCGTCGACCACGGCCGCATCAGCTGCTCGATACGGGTCGGTTCCAGCTCTGACTTCAGCGCCGAGGAGGAGGCTGAAACTGAGACCACTTCCACCACCGCCACTACGACTACCAGCGTGCCTGTCACCCAGGCGGCAGTCACCGCGGCCCCTGCCTCCGCAGACTGGCTGAATGACGCCAAATGCGGACGTACCAAGTACGACACGCGTATCGTGGGAGGCGGCCCGGCGCCGGCCAACGCCTACCCCTGGCTGGTGAGTGATCTAGGATGGGCAGCCGGAGAAATGGAGAAATGAGGACGCAGCAATACATATGGCGTGGGAGGTGGTTCCGCAGCTGTGTGTGGTAATGTGTTTACGCGTATATGAATGTGGAGTTGAAACTTTTCTTAGACGGGAAGCAGTGCTATTTGGCATATTTTTGATGACATGTGGCATACCAAATAAGTACATTTAGAAGCGATAAGAGTTTGGGTACCTGTACTCAAGCATGTGGTTAAGTGGTCCTCATCAGTGGACAGTCTTCACACTGTTTTAGTATATTTTCAACTGACGCTGTTCTGCCTGGCAGGTTGGTTTGGTTTCTCCGAGAAGCAGCCGGCCCTTCTGCGGCGGCAGCATCATCAACGAGCGTTTCATCATCACCGCTGCTCACTGCATCAGAGGGTAAGGCTCCTGTTTTGCACCATCGATTTGAGGAGAAATGAATCAATTTTATCTGTCAGAAAGGAAACAAGTGCAAGAATGCTGCATTCGATAGAAACTGTTATAGTGGTGATCAAGGGCTGTATGCTTCTTTATTGAAAGGATTTTGTGCTGGAAGTTACAGGAAATCCATAAAGATATAAGTGCATGACCGTCTCGTGGCGTTAACTGTTATAAAAGCGCAAAAAACGAATGACTGGTTATAATCTACAGATCGTTGAACAGTTCGTTAAAAATACTTATTCTGTCGCCGCACACTGACAATTTACTGAGAATTTTAGCTACATATTTCACCTTGCTCAGTTAGGTCGTTGGTCACTCGCCTTAGAGCATCTGTGGTGACTGTACTTTATGTTTTATGTCATTCTTCTTACAGACGGTCGGCATCGAAGCTGAACATCATGGTGCGGAAACACCAGCGTAGCGTGGACCCGGACCAGGTCCGAATCCCCGTGAAGAGGATCATCCAGCACCCCAAATACAACCGCGTCACCCAGGACAAGGACTTGGCGCTCGTAGAGTGAGTTGAACGAACTTGTGATTAGTGGGCCAGGAGACGTGAAAGTGGTATAAACGTTGAATGATCTGACTCGAAAGCTGAAGATTTCACCAGTCTGGAACGATTATTTTTTACACCGCTTTTCCTTAATGGATGACTCAGGGAAACTGGAGGGCGAAATATTATGAATTTTAAGTTAGGACTTGACTCGTAACAATGCTAAGACCGTCGACTGAACACGTGACTGTGTAAAAAAACATCGTATGGTAGTGCTGCCAGTCATGTGTCCTCGTTTGCTGTTTAATTATGTGTCATCTATTTCCACCGTCCACCCTCCATTACTCTCTCCTCTTCCCTCCGCAACTCCCCCTCTACCCTCGGCGACTTTCTACCATCTACCCTCCACGACTCTCTTCCCCCTCTTTCCTCCGCGACTCTCTCCCCTCTCCCCCCCTCCACGCTCTCTCCCCTCTACCAGTCACCACTCTCTCCGCCAGGCTGGCCCGGTCGATCGGTAACCTGCTGAACAATCCCGATGGCCGAGTGCGCGCCATCTGCCTGCCGACCTCGTCGTGCCCGGGCTGTCTGGCCGGACGTACCGCCGTGCTCGCCGGCTGGGGCGTGCTCCAGTCCGACACCACAGACGTGCCGGCCACGGTACAGCACGTCCAGGTGCCCATCATGACCAACAGCGCGTGTCGCGCCGCCTACGCCAAAGATCAGATCGGCATCACCAATAACATGGTGTGCGCAGGACTGGAGGCGGGCGGCAAGGACACCTGCCAGGTCAGAGACGGCGCCGGGGCGGTATAGCGGCTGTGAGGGGGATAGTGCTGGCATTTGGGATGTGTCTGGTATATGAGAAACTGATGAGCATAAGTAGTTTGGACACGAGCATGCACCAGCTACCAAAATGACATGGAAACGATGACAGGAAATGAATGCAGGACTGCATCATGCAAAAAAAAGTAGATTCTACAAACCTCCACAGTTCTAATAAGTTAACCGTTGGCTTTATCAACTAATGCAATCAAGGATGTCAGATTGAAGCTTTTGATTACCAGTCACCATATCTCTTTTCCGCTTTCTATCTCTGGACGTTACAATAAACCACACGTTCTTATTTGACCTCACAGGGCGACAGCGGCGGTCCGATGATGCTGAAGGGCTCAGACAACGTCTACACGTTGGGCGGCATCGTCAGTTTCGGCAAGGGCTGCGCCGCTCCCGGCTACCCGGGCGTCTACACCAGGGTATCAGGTAAGGTGAAATTACACCTGTTTGATGTTTACTCAATGATTGGCGTCTACACCAGGGTATCAACTATCAGGTGAGGCTGTTATCACGTGAGGCTATTTAACGTCTGCACCAGGGTATCAGGTGAGACTGAATTACACCTGTTTGACGTCTACACCAGGGTATCAGGTAAGACTAAATTACACATGTTTGGCGTCTACACCAGAGTGTCAGGTGAGACGAAATTGCCGCAAGCCGATTGACGATAGCTGAGGTTTTTACGGCAGTTTGCCAAAAGGCACGGAAGCTCTTCAAGCATCGTGATAAAAAAGTGGTGTATTCACTATTCAAATTCATTCACCATTGTTTGGTTTTCAAAAGATGAAGGAGATGGCAACGCAACCTCATTGCATTGCGATGAGATTTACACGTTGACAGGCAGGGGTTAAGGATGTTAACGACCATTGAGATATACAACTAATTTTAGCACAAATTTGGAAAATTTGGCACAAGATCGCAACAGTCGTTCGTTACACGTAACGACTGTTACGCGTAACAGGCTACAGACTGAGGATGTAGGGCTGGGGTGTGGGGCTGGAGGCGTGGGGCCAACACGTATCTCAAGATACGTGAATCCTGAGCAATTCAGTCTTCGTTAGGAATGAAAATGGTTAATGTACTTGTTGAAACCTACACTTGCAGAATTAACTTTAATCACAACTGTTTCCTCATGAAATGCGTGTTAAAATGGAACTAACCGAATTTCGGTTCTTGCTTTTCAGAACTCTACGACTGGATCAAGCGCAATAGTCGCCTGTGAGAAAGGCGGCAACGTGGCTAGATTCGGATGTTATTTGTTATTTGTTATTTAATTTTATTCTCAGGCAGACAGGATATGTCAAGTGTATGTACTTGTTTCACTGTTATCATCAACAAAAACCGTAATATTTATCTAACTTGTTTCATATGCAGCGCTCGTCTGGTTGTTCCGTTAATTGATTGTGCAAATATAGTGCCATGCGAATCATAGATCTATGGTAACACAGCAATTACTTAAAACCTTTCTGCACAGCAACAATTTGATTAAATAAATATGCTCACCATGAGGAAGTACAGTATCGCACCATATCTCAGCGTCCATTGCAAATAAACCTATTACAACCCACGATAAAACCTTCTTTATTTATCCCATCTACATACTGCACACTCCCAGGAACATACAAAAGTGCAATAAAGCGTATCAGCCTTGCAAATGTGCACGTCGACCTTGGCAAACCGTGCGTCACTACCCCAATCTGCCGGTCCGGCCCGGACGAGACAGAACTAGGCAGTCGACGGAGACGGGCGGTTCGTGCGTGTGCCGGCCACGAGTGGTCGCTGGAAAATGACACTTCGGGTAGCCAGCTGCGGGATTTTACTGCTGATATTGCATGTAAGTACGGAGATGGGGCTTTGTGGGGCATGTGATTGATAGTAAAATTGAAAGAATGAGATCGCTGCTGTCAGCGACAGACACCTCAATAAAACAGAAGCACGATTTCAGTTAGTAGCCATCCTTTCAAAACAGCATCGTAGCCAGCCTGGTACCGTCGCCCTTTCGGATTTTGACCCAGAAGTTTTAGGTCTTTTTTAACCTGCGCCTCGCTGGGGGGGGGGGGGACAGAATCTGCTACCTCCCGTTTTTCGCCAATAACTTCTAAGCGCGTTAACCCTCGCCGGCACAGGCCATTTTGCGTCCTTCGACGGCACAAGGGAGGGGGGTACGACCCCCCTCCCGTTTTGCCCCTGATCGAGCTTGAACTTCGCGAAGAAAAACGAGCGTGTTGCCCGTCACGAGAGGAAGCCAATGATAGGTACCCAATTTTTAAGGTCCTTGGTCATCGGTTGACCTTCCAGGTCAGGTCAATGCCACTCAAAAGTCGGGAAAATTGGGACCTGTTAGAACGTCATTAAGTGTGGCTGCTACGAGTTTTTTTTTTTTTTTGGGGGGGGGTGCTGATCACGAGTACATACCATGTTAGTTTTGATCACAGATGCTGTCTTTATGCATTTAGGCCGGGTCGGGTCAGGTCAGGTCAGGTCAACCAGTAGGGGGTTTGCTGGATATTCGCAGTAGGTGTCAACCTCCTCTGACAGCTTCGTAACATGTTACGAAGGAACCAAAACTACTTCGTTAATGTTCAAATGGTTGCTAAATTCGAATTCAGCTCCAATAACTAGCCTAGAAACATGTAAACTAGAAAAAGTGAGCCGAGGTCATCAAAGGTCAATGACCTGACCTTCAGGTGACCTTTTCATCCACCCTAATGCATGGGAGCAACATCAAACCGCATGTTTGAACGCTTGAAACCACGGAAAAACTGCAAACGCGCGGCTAATGCGAGCCGACATACACCGAATCGCAATTCCGGCCAAACATGGTCTCGACAAGTAGGTCACAGGTCAAAGGTCATTTGGGTCAGGGTCATGAAATTTTTAGGGTAGGTGTAAAATTAATCAACGAGAGGGTACTGAATGTTTCGTCGCGATCGGCCCTTCTTTCGTGAGTTATTTGCGCAAAATCTTAACACGCGCAGTGGAAGGGTTGCGAGTACTACGCCCAGTGGAAGGGGGGGGGGCGGATGTCGCCCCCCCCCCTAAGATCTCAGCTCCCACTGGAGCTAGAAAGACGAAATTTGGAGGGTAGGTGAGGGCCATGGGGAACTCTGTTGTGTGTGAATTTCATGACCCTAGGTCAATATCTTCAAGGTCAAATGAGGTCAAATGTGGTCAAATCTGCCATATTAGCGACTTTTTTGCGTTTACACGCCGATAACTCAAAAAGTTACCGGCAGATTTTTTAAATCTTTCACTATACGAAAGAACAAACATTTGTGAGTATGTATGGTGAATTTCTAGATAATCCAACAATAAATATGGCAGTTAGAAGCCTGCTAAGGGTAAGATGTCGCCGGCTGAAGCGGCATCGGCCGACGCGGGAAACGCGGCAATCACAATTTTGTGTTTACACACTCATAACTCAAGTTGTTACCGGCCGATTTTCAAAATTCTTTAACCATATGATTGCCTGTGCATTTCTCAGTCTTCTCACCCAATTTGACGCGAATTTAATATATTCAGGGGTAAGGAGCGCGATGTAAAGACGGAACCGTCCCACCCCGGCACAGTCTACAATTCAGGCGGCGCGTAACGGCTAGCGCCGGCCGCCGCGCCGCCGCGCCGCCGCGGCGGCAGGATGTTTGACTTTACACCGCTATTACTAGAAAAGTTGTGAACCGATTTTCTTACTTTTTGCACGAGAAGATCCGCAATTCAATTCTGGACAGGTAGCAGAAATTTCACATTGATATTATGCTTGCGACGCGAGTTATTGGCGAAAACAGGAGGGGTGGGCGAAATCCGCCCCCCCCTTCCACTGCGCGTGTTAACCCTCGCCCATGTAGGGGGGGTTGGTGCAACCCCCCCCCCCCTGAGGTTTTTCGGAAATAGCGCAAAAACGGCGGCGCGCAGCGCCGCCAAATTTTGGGTACCTTATGGGGCAAACCTTGCGCATCTTTTAATAAAAAAATTGACCGGGTCATGTCAGGTCACGGAGTTATGACGTCACAAAGGGAACAGCCTCAGGCCGGATTTTCACAAACTGAGTGCCAACGCCCGAGGTTTCCTGCCGGTGGTACGGACATCGGTTGATGGATCGTGATGAAACTTCCCATGCATGTTGGGGCAAGTATTGGCTATCATATGGTATAAGAAACTTGACCGGGTCAGGTCAGGTCACGGAGCTATGACGTCACAAGAGGAACAGCGTCCGGTACTATTTTTGAAAAGCGCCCGAACCATTATTTTGCTAATTCTTGTCACCTCAATGGGAATATGCAGCAATATTAGCTTCTATAGGGAGCAAATGGACTTCCCAAATCCAAAAATACAATCAGATTTCAAAAATTTAAATTTTGATTTTTCGAATTTCTGCCGCCGACTGTGACCTTGCCGACTTCCGGCGCTCCCAACGCGTCATTTTTAGAGCTAGGGAAACGAAATACATACCAAACGATAGAGAATTGATCAAGGAACACGATAGTGAAGATTTCAAGTCGATATCTCCCACCGTTTTGCCGCAATCGCCGCGGAAAATTTGAAAAAGTCTATTTTTCCGAAAATTTGACCTTTGACCGGTCAAAAGTAGGTCAAATGTTGACCTAGGACCAAAAAATATACCACCAATCGCGAGATCTCGGCGAGAGCAATCCGTTGATCTTTTCCGCTAAGCTCTACGACGCTCCGTTTTCAAACGCCAAGGGGGGGTCGCACCAACCCCCCCCCCTGCATGGGCGAAGGTGGCAGATCGCCGTTTACGGGCGAGGGTTAAGGGGTTGCATCAACCCCCTCCCCTGTGCCGGCGAGGGTTAAGCCAGCAATGTCAAACTTGTAGTCCTTATCATAAATCAAATTAACATGATCCCTGAAAATTTGAACGAAATCTGTCAGAAATCGTTTGCAAAGATGACGACTTAGCGACGTCATGAAGTCCATTTTCGCTTCAAATACTGCAAAACTTCAAACACCTCAGTTTTTAAGGAATTAGGACAAAACAAAAAGCATGTATACTTTGTTTCTCAAACGGCTGTCTCGTTTTTTTCACCCAATTTTTTTTAAATGCTTTTTTGGATAATCATTATAAAATAAAAAATGTCTATAAAAACGGAATATCTGTTGGAGAAGTTGCAGCTGAGCACAAATATTCCATGAATCCATATTCCAAAGAATCTGTCCAAAAATGTAGGAGAAAAAAATCAGTTCTTATGACGTCACACATTTTCGTAAGATGAAATTTTTGGAAGTTTTATACCTCGTGCGGGAACAAAAATCGCGCCGTTCGATTTACCGTGAAAAACTGCATCAGACAGACACCATTTTGTTTACCTATTAACAACAAAATTCAAAATTTGACCTCACTGGACCTGACTTTGACCTGACATTGACCTGAAATTAAACCAAATGCGGCCCATATCACTAATCGAGTGTGCCCATTGAATTCCTTGACTAGAATTACCCATAAAACATGTGTCGCACATGTCCTATATTTCGGTTTTGGTGACCTCACCTGACCTTGAGCCTGACCTTTGTATGACATGGTATGCAATGAATCTTGTCTTGGTAGCCCAAGAACACTTTCTGGATAATCAATATCAGTCCATTTTTCGCCATTTCCGCTCCAAAGCCGATAATGTAAAAACTCACATGTTGTGCATTTGACCTGACCTCGACCTGGCCTTTGATCTATCTAAGCAAAAAAAAAAATGACTCCAAGGGTCCATCTTGTTGAGAGCTTTCGAGTCCCACTTTCCCCGTCTTTGAAGGACCATTGGTTCGGAAGTTTGATAGGGGCAGAATACCCCCCTCCCCCTGCAGTTCATTGTATCATTTTGGAGCATCATTGGATTTTATGATAAGTCATGAAAGTTACCTGAATGAGTAAGTTTCAAACAATAAAATTTACGTTAAAAACAATCATTTTAAAACAAAGACGCTCGAATATTATTACCGAAACGATCATCGAAACGATCATGGCAAGGAAGATCTGCTCAGTAGTGCATGACAAGCAGACATAAATTTGAATAAAAGCTGCATCAATGCAGTCACAGTCCATTTGGGAAAATATGTATTCAAACAATGTATGTGGGTGTGTTTCGGTCGGCTGGACACAATGGGCGCCCTGCAGGGCTGAGAGCAGGTCCTTGCAAGGCTGGACAGGTCCGGTTTGGCTCTTGGCAACAGATCGTTTGCAGAGACTAGTTGTGAATAGCTTCACAGCTGACAGTAAGTCCACCATACGTCTGTTCCTCGCCCTTTATTAGACACTAATGCTCTTACGCTGAATATGTTTGACGAAATGCAGCTAGCGGATTTTAGATGATAGTCATAACTCATAATTGGTCGGAAGGGTAGCAGAAGATTAAACGCAAAACAATTGCCTCGAGAAAACAATCAGCTATAATGGACGAACCATATCAAGCGTGTATTCGGCATCTGGAAAATGAGGGATAATTATCCGAGATAACTGGTAATTATTTGGTATTGCAGGGATCATCGAAGTAATCAGTCACATTTTCAGATTGCCTGCGCTTCATGAATGGCTGTCATGAACGTTGTGCATGGTGTCAGCCTAAAACACCGAAGGATCCCGGTGATCCCGGAAAATTATCCCTGATTATCCGGATGCCGAACGCACGCTTAGAAACTACGATACAACTGCACTCCATTCCCAACAGATTAAGTTCACCGTCACAAATTGTCTGTGTATTTTCACGCGTTTCTCTCGCAGTGCACCCGGAGGTCGACAGGTACCGAGTACCGACTGCCGATTCCGGAGCGGACGCTCTTCACGGTTGTCTCGGCGGCCAGGGAGCAGCCGTGGCAGTACCGACTGCCGATTCCGGAGCGGACGCTCTTCACGGTCGTCTCTGCGGCCAGGGAGCAGCCGTGGCAATGGGTTACACCCAGCATGCTCTTCAACAGGACCACGCAGACCGTCTCCGGAAACGAAACCGGTAATGTGAGCCGAGCTTTACATAGATCAGCAAATGATACCTTAGGGAACCAAACCGTCGGGTCCCCGCAGCAACCAAATATGAGCCGAGCTATAGATACACAAATGATACCTAAAATGCCCGGGCCGTCTCCGGCAAGGAAACCGGTAATATGAGCCCAGCGTTACTACAAATATCACAACCAAAGCGCAGGCTATAAGTTAACAGAAGGTGCTATGATCTGAGCCAATGAAAATTAATATTCAGTAGTACCTACATTGAAAATATGTAACGTAAACATGTAAATGTATTGTAAATTACCATGTGGGCGTACTTTTGCAGTGCCGTCCAGTGGCAAGTTTCTGCTGAGAGATGACGCTGTTGCGACATTTGAATCCCCTGGATATCCGGCCGAATATCCTGGGCGCATCTGGACCTCGTGGAAATTCATGGTAAGATGCATTTGTTAGAGGATGAATGGTGCTGCTAATAGCCGTTTTCGCAACGGACTATCCGGCGAGTGCACCTAATTTGACCAAACCTGCACCCAATCTGAACTTGATTTATGTATCCGATAACCAGCGAGGACAATCAATGATTGAATGGTGAAGGTAAAGACATAGCGAGAGGCCCGGTAAGCTTTGAACATCGGGAGGAGAACACTCAGAACAGAGGGCACCGTTAGCTCCGCAGTGAAAGTACCGTGATTGAATCGGCTGAGTCACGCGAGATCTCGGCATTAACAAACAAACAATAATTTATTTAGAGACACTTGCAAATTACATTGAATCGTCAGGCGAACATCGTTATACATGGGCGAAGCATACAGCCCATTCACACGCGCATTGCATTACCCACACACACACACACAGCCCGATCCCGCCCCTTCAGTCACTCGGCCTCTCCCCGTCATCGCTCTCGTCGCACCTCGATACCGCTTTCAGTTCTGCCAACAACTCTGCGTAACCGGCCAGCAGGTTGGGGCGCGGCGAGCCTGTCTGGTCACTGGAGTCGCTGGGAGTTATCCTCAGGAGCTCGTCGTTGAGTTCCTGTGTTGTTGACACAGGCTCGATGGACCGGACAGTGGCGCGAGGCTGCAGGTACCGAGCTAGTTCGGGGTCGTCCATGGGGTCCCGGCTCGGCTGAACACTGTGAACTGAACAAAATGTACACCATATGTGTACCAGATGGCCGTCGTGAAAACGACTAACATTACCGAAAAGCACGCTGCAAGGAATTGAGATCAAATTTTGCCGAAACGGTAGGATCAAGACTTCCGCAAAAAAAAAAAAATGAAGTAAAGGTAGCCAATCTCTGGATAGCAACTTACTTATTTTCCTCGGTGCTCACTCTTTATATGCTGCCTACTTAAATAAACGGAAATTCTTTCTCATTAAAAACACACACACACACACATACCAGTTTATCTACTCTTTAGTGGCCCCACCATAACGAATCACTGCATTATGCAGTGTACTTCGCCTTACCGACCTTCACCTTCCCCTCCCCCCCCCCCCCCTCAGGCCGAAAAGCTGGACACGGAGCTGACACTGTCCTGTTCCGAGTTCGTCCTGCTGCCCGGTGACTATATCGGGGTGCATGGTCCGGGCCGGTACAGTCAAATATCTGCCGGTGACCCGACTCCACACATCACCTCCCGGGAGTATGTCGTCATCGAGCTGATCACGGAGGAGGAGGGCGGAGGTCGGCTGCGGTGCAGCGTGCACGCGCGGCCCATCGGCTACATCGGCATCAACCACCGGCTCTGCGGCGTCTCCAGACAGAGCACGCGCATCGTGGGGGGTGACGAGGCGCCCAAGAACGCCTACCCCTGGCTGGTGAGAGGAGAGGGTTGATGAGACTGAAAGGTAGGTTGTTCGTTATTTTCTCGTCACATTCGATGTGACAAGAAAATTTGCCAACAATCAAAGCAACGCTTACCACTCCTCACATTTTGATGAGAGCCTTAGTGATGAGTGATGGTGTGTAAAACGCTTTGTTATCTCCGTGGGCGCGGCCTTGACATAGTTTAGTCAATTATGTATGAGGACGTGTCGTTTCAGACATAGCAATGTTTTTATTTCAGGCAGGCCTGACTTACGAAAACGAAAACTTGCCGTATTGCGGTGGCAGCATCATCAGCGAGGACCTCATCGTCACGGCAAGCCACTGCGTTGCCAAGTAGGCAAATGGACTTCGAATAAAATATGACTCTCCTTATGCCAATTGACCGCGTCTACACTGTTTCCAATGTTATATCGCAAATAAGCAGAGCAAACCCATACTACATCATGTAAAGATCCACGCCAATTTTAGGGACAATGTATTGCGTTCTGGATCGGGACGGCTAACTGGATCAGTGACTTTCTTGACAGGCAATCTTACATTGATGCATATTCCGGCAAAATATACAATGCTTTAAGAGACAGATTAAATATGTTGCATTCCTAACAAACCCTACTTTATTTGGTCTGTAAATGGTTCATAGCTCACATATACACACTTCGATTGGGCTGGAAATAACCGGAACATATTAAAACTATGCACTTGATATGCCTTTCAGACGTCGTGCTAAGGATCTGGCCGTCTTGGTGCGGAAACACAGGAGGGGCGTTGACCCCGAGGAGGTACGACTGAAGATCTCCAGGATAATAATTCACCGGGAATACAACGACAGGAGCATGGACAACGACATCGCACTCATTGTGTTAGTTTTTTAATGTTCGTGTTTTTAAAATTATTAGATGACATGTAATAGTAGCCGTTTTTACGATGGGCTATCCGGCGAATGCTTGACCAAATCTGCACCTAATCTCTTTTACAGCAAATATCTTCATTTTATGATTTTTGTCAGTGTTTTAATCGATGATACCCTCTGATAATATGACAAAGCAGGCATATAAGCAATTAGTGCAACCCTAGCTAATAGCTACTAAGCGATACATTGAACCTAATTTGACCAAATCTGCACCTAATATGCACCAAATGTGCACCAGTTGTGCACCAAATGTGTACCAGATGGCCGTCGTGAAAATGGCTATTAAGTACCATGAAACAATGGGTAACTAGCAGCCTTATCAGCCACCACGTTTTGGAGCCGGCATTCTTCTCAAAATTTACATCACTCCCATGATCACTTCCTTTCAGTGTGAATGGCTCGATGCGGAGTCTGATTCTGAACGAGGACGGCCGGGTGCGTCCCATATGTCTTCCTGAGGAGCCGTGCAGCGCCGCAGGGGACGGGGACGGCAGAACAGACGGCGAACTCTCGTGTCTGGCGGGTCGGCAGGCCAGGGTGGCCGGCTGGGGCCTGGTGCGCACCTTCACACCCGACACAGCCCATCTTGACCTGACGCCGAAAACCATGCAGCATGTCACGGTGCCCATCATTACCAACAAACAGTGCGCTGAGGACTACGCCAAACGGGGTATGAAGATTACCGATAATATGCTGTGTGCTGGTCTGACAAAAGGGGGCAAGGACTCATGCCAGGTAAGGAATAGTTCTGCAGTTTGTTATCGGATGTATCTATTAGATGCTACACTTTCCTTCTGAATATAATCGCGATTCCTTTTAACGCAGCAATTGCTAGTTTCAAAGGAAACTTGCATCACATAAAAACCTAATTTGAGAGCTTCCGTCAACAAGCACTGGCATGCCCAGATTAACTGCGATGTTGAGCTAGGATCTATGACCGCAGCACCTATCCTCTGCTGCCCTACAGGGTGACAGCGGCGGACCACTGATGATCAGGGAGAAGGACGAAAGGTTCGTGCTGGCTGGCATCGTCAGCTTCGGCATCGGCTGTGCCCGGCCGAACCTGCCGGGCGTCTACTCCCGTGTATCAGGTGTGTATCCGGGCGTCTACTCCCGTGTATCACGTGTGTATCCGGGCGTCTACTCCCGCGTATCAGGTGTGTATCCGGGCGTCTACTCCCGTGTATCACGTGTGTATCCGGGCGTCTACTCCCGCGTATCAGGTGCGTAGTATATCCGGTGTGTATCAGGTGTGTATCCGGTGTGTATCCGGTGTGTATCCGGTGTGTATCCGGTGTGTATCCGGTGTATATCCGGTGTGTATTAGACGTGTATCCGGTGTGTATCCTGTGTGTATCAGGTGTGTATCCGGTGTGTTTCCGGTGTGTATCCGATGTATATCCGATGTGTATCCGGTGTGTATCAGGTGTGTATCCGGTGTGTACTTACATATTCCCGCGTCTCGGGCGTCTTTTCCCTCGCACCCTGCAGCGGTTATACGGTGTTCACACGTGCACGTCAGCTCGGTCCTGACGCTGACTAACGCTGACACATTTATCAGTGTCAACTTGACGTGCAAGTGTGAACTACGCTAGATACAACTCGAGGGAATGTAGCTACTAGCTGCTGCAATTATTTGGGCATTTCAGAGGAGTTGTACTAAATGTTTTCTTGTCATTTCAGAGTTATTTTGTTGGATCAAGGAAGGACGCAAAACGTGTAAAACCGGTTCTGAGACGCTGTGAGCGAAAAGATCATAGTAAATGACATCAGTATGTACATTGTACCTTGTACAAAGAGGAGACAAGAATGAAACGAAACAATTATGAAGAGACAAACGGTGCGAGGAGTTACGGATTAGTGCTGATCTGATAGTGCTGATACGATAGTGTTGAATGAGATATGATAGATCGAAGAATGTGTTTTGTCTTCATCTCAGTTTCAGTAACTGATGTTACTGCTGTGTGTACTGGTGCAGTCTCTCACTTCAATTGTGCCACCACGCGAGATACTGCATTTGGGACAGTGCGCATAGGACAAGACGAATTTGCATATGCTTTATACGACAATAGGTGAAGCCGTCATATGCTTGTAATAGCTGCAAATATGCTAAAGATAATATGATGAATCAGGCTCTTTTAATTATCTACATACATATAAGATGTGAAGCAAAATGCATGCATCCAAGATGAGCGAAGAGGGCATATAGTTTACAAAACCATGTTAACTCTACAAAATCGATACAGGCTAATGACACGTCAAATAAAAGAAGAACTGTCTGGAACTTCTACACTTTGTCTATAATTCTGATTTGCGCGGCGGGACTGGTGGGCATAAACATCAACCTCCAAACAAAGCATAGGTTCCAGCTTCAATCTCGCAAGCATTACGTAAAGGACGATGACACCAAACACATCAGTGAGAATGTCAGCTGAAAATCGGCACAACTGAGACCTGACCCCCGTCATATCTCGAGACAAAAGCGGCACTTTCAGGGACAGGTCATATGGCTGAACGCCTTTCGATAGTCTTAGTGCCTTTTCGAATGACATGAAGCACCACCATCGCTTCGCAACAAAACCAGCAGGCAGATCAACACTTAACATGACCTTGCAGATGAAAACTTTTTTTTAACTTATTTCAGTTTGACCTCTTGGTAAGTTAAAAACTATATTTCTAACGAATCAACAATTTCCATATTCATCGCATATAGGTGGCATTAACCCTATGATGTCATGATAAACCATCAATCATCACATCCAAACCAATGAGGTGAGTCACCGTCATTAACGAGCTTACCTACCGGTCCTGGCCAGTCATACCAGACTGCAGTCGTTCTGCCCTGCCGCAGTCCGGAGCAGTGACCCGACCGGCACTGATCTCTGCTCAGCCCCAAACCTGTCCCTCCCGGTCAGATCAGGTCGCCAGAGCGCGGCGCCTCTCCACTGGAGGGGCGGAGCGCAACGTGTCTCTGTTGATCGCTGCAGACCGGTCCTGGAAGCACCCAGCGGCCGACGCGCTAGCGCCGTCCTGTCGAGTGGATCACGGTCCTGAGTCCTGTCACGAACCTGTCACGCTGTCGGGCCGGCGTCGGCCGTGGCAGTTGACGAGTTGTCTGTGACCTGTGACGGACTATCTGTGACCGGTGACAGCGGAGTGACGGAAGGTGACGGGGTGACGGAAAGTGTCACGGTAGTGACCGGAAGGAGACAGGGAGGTGCTTGTCCTCTTCAAGAAGTGATAACATGAAGAAGCATGTGGTGCGAGGTCTGGTGCTGCTGAGTCTGGTGAGTATTGATTATGTGCGGTAGGTAAGTGGGGAGTCAATTGATATTTCATTAGTGATGGGTTGTTACTGTATGAAATGATTTTTAGTGATAAGTGTTCGGAAAAGGATGCATGAAATACAAAAGCATTTTAAACGTAGAATGGCTCCGCTTGAATTAGGATGTAGTTCATATAAAATTTGCAAAGAATGTGTGTTTCGGCACTAAAAGTAAGTTTAAAAATTGAGATCGATGTGCAATTATCGGAACATATGCAGCCATAACCAGTACGGCAGGGTTCAAATGTAAGTAACTATATAGAGTGTTTTGCATATCAGTCGATCTAAAACAACAAACAAGCATTGCTGTCACTAGCGGTCGCGGAGTGGGATGGAGGAGGGGAAGGAGCATAGGACCATAGTTCCCTTGAAACCTTATTAATTACGCCTATGACAGTGATTTGAAAGATAAGGACAATGCCGACAGTGACCTATCACTCGCCGCTATCTGGGTCTGCACAACTTTTCAATGGACGATACAAAATTAAACTATTAAAACAACCTAGGATCGCTGGATATTCCACCATGACGTCCAGCCAGAGTTCATGGACCCTTTGATAAAGTGCAGTATTCTCCCGGCTGACGTAGATACTGATTTGTGCACGAGTGCAACAGTGGATCCGACAGGAAATCTGCGGATTACCATAGTAAATGATGTGGCGTTGACGTGGGCCAGTCACGTTTAGAGGGAGCGCAAATCGTCTTTGACGGTCGCGTCCATTCACATATTCCAAAAGCTGAAATCTTAAGTGGCCTATGCTAAACGATTATCAGGGTGCTGTTGAATGAGCCCTGATGAACCTTCATGATTGCCCGCACTTGTGCTCTGGGGCACAACGACAAGCAGCAGCATGAATAAAAAAATGTTTCTGAGGTAGACCTTATGGGAAATAAGCCTATGAAATAGAAGTATTTTTATATTTAGATGCAGCAAAGCTAGATACCAAAATGAAAATAGCCTGTTTTACATCGAGACGAAATAACCGTTCGTTTGTCATTAGGCACTCTTCAATACATCTGAAACTTCAGCTGCGGGAGCTGCAAACCCGGCACTGGTGCCTGCATCAGCGTCTGTTCTACCTCCCTCGGAAGAAGTGGAACATGGTCGTCCCCGGCCGCGTGTTCGAAGGCGCCCTTCCAGCCCCGTGGCGACGGCGAGGCGGCGGTGGGTGACGGCCTCTACCCTCGGCTCGTCTCCGACTCAGGAGGTGGACACCGATACGGAACGTAAGTGATCGCGGGGAGCGAGATGGTGTAATTCGACGGAGAGATGCACTGTCGTAGGCAGTATGTGACGTTTAAATAGATTAAAATTTAATGTAATTGACTATTTAAAAAAATAGATATACGTTGTCGAATGAAAAGTCACAAAAACGTAGTAAGAACAGTTTCAGCTATTCATGAGCGTGGTTCAGGGCCCAACAATTGTTACATTGATGACATTCATTAGCTAAATAGTAAACATTTCAATCGCGCAAGTAAAGGTAGGCATGGTGTGCTATCTAACCCCATCCACATACATTCACAGTTCCGTCGTCGGGGAAGTTTGTGATCCACAACGGGGTGGCAGCGATCTTCACCTCACCCGACTATCCGGACGAATATCCCGCCAACGTCTGGACGACGTGGATATTTGAAGTGAGTTTGAGTTACCTACAACTAAGCCTCAAGTTGAGCACTATGATAAAAAGATGCTTTAAACATTTCTATTATATTTTAACCCGCGCCCCGCTGGGGGGGGGGCAGAATCTGCCCCCCTCCCGTTTTTCGCCAATAACGTCTAAACGCGTTACGCCAGCAACGTCAAACTTTCAGTACCTTATCATACATCAATTTGACACGTTCCCCGAAAATTTGAGAGAAATCTGTCGGAAATTTTTTGAGAAATTGACGTTTTAGTGACGTCATGTTCGCCATTTTCGCCACAAAAACGGCAAAATTTCAAACGCCGCTAACATCCTCATTTTTAAAGGAATCAAGACGTAACAAAAAAAAGGTTATGCGTGATTCTACTTTTTCTATCAAATGGCTATCTCGGATTTTTGAAAATTTGGGATTTTGGCCCAATTTTTTTCTTCAAAAAAATGACTTTTTTGGGAAAATAATTATAAAATCCAAAATTTTGAGTGTATCGAAAAAAACCAGAATATATGTCAGAGTAGTGGTCTATGTGCACCTACATACCAATTTTTAGAAGAATCGGTTCAAAAATGTGGGAGTTATTCAAAATTTTATGACGTCACGAAACACAAAAATTTTGAAAAATGATTTTTTTGGAAGTTCTAGACCTGGTACGGAAATAAAAATAGCACCATTCGATTCGCCGTGAAAAACTGCATCAGATAGACACCTTTTTAGGCCTTAACAACCAACTTAAAAATTTGACCTCACTTGACCTGACCTTGACCTGACCTCGACCTGAAATTCATCCAGAGGTGGTCCATATCACTTATTGAGTGTGCTTATTGAATTCTATGAATAAAATGACCAATAAAACATGTGTCGCACATGCCCTTTTCTATATTTTGTTTTTGGTGACCTGACCTGACCTGACCTGACCTTGACCTTGACCTTTGAATGACATTTGTATGCAACGAATATTGTCTTGGTAGTCTAAGAACACGTTTTGGGCAATCAGTCTCAGTCCATTTTTCGGCAACTACGGTGCAAGGCCGATACAGTAGAAACTTGCATTTTGTACCCTTGACCTGACCTTGACCTGACCTCTGACCTACTTAAGCAAAAAATTTTGGGCTCTTAAGATCCGCCTTGTTGAGAGCTTTCGATTGCCGTTTTCCCCGTCTTTCTACGACCATCCGTTCGGAAGTTAGACAGGGGGGGGGCAGAATCTGCCCCCCCCCCCAGCAGGGCGCGTATGGCTGAATAGCCCAGCGGGGCGCGGGTTAATAACGCAACAGCACAACAATCGCCAATCGCCATGATTCACTGTTCACCCTCCTCTCCAGGCGCAGGACGAGGACGCCAAGCTGCATATCAGCTGCCCGGAGCTGTCCCTGGGTCGCCGGTCCCGGCTCACCTTACGCACTGAGGACGGAGAACGTCAGGTGTTCTTCCACAATAGTATATCGCCCCCGGCACTGACCTCGACCAGTCGGGTCACGGCCTCGCTCCGCGCCGGGCGCACAGACAACGGCAAAATGGCGTGCGTGGTGCGCGCCGAACTGACGCCCCAGGTGTCTCTGGAAGACCTGGCCCCCGTGGAGGTCAATGACCCGCTCTGCGGCCGGGCCAAGCCGATCACACGCATTGTTGGCGGGGTCACGGCAGAGAAAGGAGCTTACCCGTGGCTGGTAAGAGTCTTACCGAGTGTGTAGAGGTGTAGAAAAGAGTGCTTAGAGAGCGTCATTCGTCAAAATGTTCCTAAAAGATATCGGTTTCAGAGGATTTTTCGTAAATTATTTTCAGGCTTCCACGCTGGATAAATGTCCGGGGCATTAACCGTTCACTATTTCGGGATCAACCTACTCTTATATAAATAGGTTCAACTGGTTTCATATAAAAAATCAAGATCTTCCCATACCGACCGGCTCATGGGCATAGACAACTCCAATTTGCCACAATTTTTGCAGGTGGGAGTGACGACCCTTAGTCGAAAGGACACGCTTTGATAACTCCGACTTGCCACAATTTTTACAGGTGGGAGTTACGACCCGCAGTCGAGAAGACATGTTTTGCGGCGGCAGTATCATCAACGAGCGCTACATCCTCACCGCAGCGCACTGCGTACATGGGTAAACAACTGCCAACCACAGTAGTAATCCGGCACTTCGTTATTACTATTTTAGGCTCCTTGCAACTCCCGCTTGATGGCTTATGTTGTCCGCAATAATTGCAATTTTTGTTACGAGCGAGCGAGCGCAGCGAGCGAAGCGAGTCTTTTCAATATAAGGGGAAAATCTCATTAGCACGTGCTCGGCGATCGGTGGTACGAGTAACCATCATATACCAATTTTCTTTTGGCGCGACTCGGTCTCGACTCCTTTCACGCCCTCTGTCGATCAGCGTCCTGCATGGGGTCAGTGCCGTGATTTCTTGCTGAAAGACGCCAGGAGGGCACTTCCAGCCAGCGGGCCGTGGAAGTGGGACGGTCAGCGGACCGTTGAGTGTCAGTGCCAGCGGGCAGAGGAGGGCACTTCCAGCCAGCGGGCCGTGGAAGTGGGACGGTCAGGGGACCGGTGAGTGTCACTGCCAGCGGGCAGAGGTCGCAGCCAGCCAGCGGGCCGGGGAAGTTGGACGGTCAGCGTACCGTTGAGTGTTACCGCCAGCGGGCAGAGGAGGGCGCTTTCAGCCAGCGGGCCGTGGAAGTGGGACGGTCTGCGGACCGTTGAGTGTCACTGCCAGCGGGCAGAGGAGGGCGCTTCCAGCCAGCGGGCCGTGGAATACGATGGTCAGCGGACCGTTGAGTGTCACTGCCAGCGGGCAGAGGAGGTCGCATCCAGCCAGCGGGCCAGGGAAGTGGGACGGTCAGCGTACCGTTGAGTGTCACCGCCAGCGGGCAGAGGAGGGTACTTCCAGTCAACGGGCCGTGGAAGTGCGACGGCCAGCGGACCGGTGAGTGTCAATGTGTATGGACTTGGTGCCGGCTGGCGCACACGGTGGCCGATCGCGACCGGCCGTTGAGCCGCGCCGGTCAGTCGGTGCCGGGGCCGAATACAGGCTGCGTCGATGGACAAGTCTCTCAGTACCTTACACTACCTTACATTGCCGCACGGCCACTGCCGGACATGAGGTGTGCATCCTTGCCCGAAGTCTCCAGAGCCAAGCAACTTTTCACAGCGGTGCTGACATCACGGGATCCAATGCTGTCCTGAGTGAAGCGTCTTGTCCAAAAAGGTGGTTGGCCACTCAGCACGGACTCGGAACTGTCCGCATTTGCTGGTAAACGGCTGGAATTGTCCGTATGCTGCGTCGTGCTCATGTGGAGCACCGAGTCGTTATTCCGAGTAGGGCACGTGAAGCGATCTTTGCCGAGCTCCACGTGGCGCAACCTGGGGTACGTAGCATGAAGGCTCTAGCAAGAGGCGGCGTCTGGTAGTCGTTCATGGACAAGGTCATCGAGCGTGTCGGGAGCCTGTGTCGGGCGTGCCAGGAGAGCAGGCCAGCACCTGATCGCGCTGCCCTCCGCATGTGGCCCTGGCCGGATCGTGCCTTGTCACGGATACACATCGACTTTGCCGAGCCCACGAAAGGAAGAAACGTGATGGTCGTGGTAGAAGCTTATTCTAAGTGGATTGAGGCAGAGTGCTGCACCACTGTCAGCTCCAAGTCGACGATTACTAGGCTGGGAGATGTGTTCCCGATGGGGATTACCAGACACGGTTGTGACTGACAACGCCACATCATTCATCTCATCCGAGCTTCAATGTTTTATGCAGGAAAATGGCAGACATCACAGGACGAAAGAACCTCGCCACAGCCAAGGCAACGGACTGGCTGAGCATGCTGTGCGTGATGTCAGGCCTGCCTTGCAGAGGTCTGACGATAACTGGGAAGATGCTTTGTCTCGTTGGCTGCGCCGTCAGAATATCACACCTTACAGCACGACCTCAGTTTCTTCCTCAGAGCTCATGGCTGGACGCAGCATCCGCGCCGGAGCCGGCTGGATCTCCTTCACCATGACATGCGGAAGGGAGTGACTGAGCAGCAGGTGAAACAGAAGGAAATCATGAAAGCAAGGTAAGATCTGAAAGAAGATTTGGTGTGTCATATCTCGTGTTTTTTTTTCAGAAACACGGTGTTGGGTCGCCATGGGCTGCTGGAGTGGTCGTTGGTGTCGACGGGCCAGTATCGTACGCGATCGAGCTAGAGGATGGCAGGATATGGCGACGGCATACTGATCAGTTGAGACGTAAACTAAACGGAAACACGTTTACAGAACCTCCTGCGATGACTGCTGGTGCAGCCGAGACCGTGGCCGAGCCAGGAGTGCGGCTGCAGAGGAGCTGACGCCGCCGACCCAGCTACACGCGCCTCTGCTCAGGATGTCGAGCTCCGCGTCCCAGCGACCGCCGACCTGCTAACCTGGACTGGGTCCTGCCGCACGGCGGCTGCCAGCGGAAACTTCTGTGACTGGCACGCAGGTGCCATTAGCGAAAGCGCCTGCGCCATCAGGCGATGATTGTGTTGAAGTAGCGGTGCCCCCCGATAGCGGCGGGCTGACGGCTGCGGAACAGTTAACGTCCGTACCGGCGGAGTCTGGTGCTAGCGAAGCTGGTGATCGCCGGTCGGGCCGATTGCGGAAACAAACCGTTTTTTTTTACATAGTTGTGTGTTGGTGTGCGGCGCAATGGCTCATTTTCTTCGGGAAGGGCAGTGTAGGGACTTGGTGCCGGCTGGCGGCCTGTCTGTGTGCACTGACATCTGTGCACACCCTTGACGCGTCCCTGCGTGGACGCTGACCGCTGTGCAGTGTGCACGCTCGGCGCCTCGGGCACACAATGGCCGATCGCAACCGGCCGGTGAGCCGTACCGGTCAGTCGGTGCCGGGACCTAATACAGGCTGCGTCGATGGACAAGCTGCTCAGTACCTTACACACTGCCAGCGGACAGATGAGTTCAGTGGGAGTTCGACGGTCACCGGACCGGTGAGAGGCAGATAGGCGCGAGTTCCGGTGTAGGTGTGACGATCAGTGGACATGCCCGTGGCGGCAATGCAGCATGCAGTCATTCTTGCACCCACAGAGTGGCATACGGCCAGCAGTGACCTGACTCCAGTCCAGATGGCCCGCTGCAGACCCGGTGCAAGACGACCCCCGATCAGCTGCGGACCTGCGGTCCGGGTGCCAGGCCAAAGGCCGCTACGCCACGGTCACGGTCAGCTGACGTCACGGCGAGTGAGTCACCCGGGCCGCCTCACGGCGCAGATGACGGTTACGTAATGACACGCCCGCGCCTGCGCCACTGGCGGCCACGTGGCTACCAGCAGTTGCTGTCGCTGCCGCCGCGGCGCCACTAGCGCTGGAGGTGTCCACACCTACCGCTGACGTCACGATCACGCGATCGCTGGGCAGAGGTCACACGATTGCTGATCGGTCCCGCCAAGATGGCGTCAGGGTGGCTTGGCCTTGGGTGCACAGAGACATTAGGTCATGCACGTGGACAGGTCTATGAACACAACAAGATGCGAGGCTAGCAGTCTGGTGGCAGCATAAGTCGTGACTCCCTGGAATGCGGCACGAGCATAACTGCTTATACGGTCGGTGATACTGTTGGCCGTTGGAGAGCTCTGGCCTGAACAATAATGGCCGACGCGCAGCCCTGTCCTAGGGCCAGTCGGTCGGGCGGCGGAAATGCAGGATACGACCCACCTTATTTGCGCCTAGTGGCAATCTGCAATCGTCGGCAGGCAGCACAAAGATGGTCCCTCTGTGATGATTTGTCAGCAAAGGGAAGGGTGCAGTTCGTGGGGCGCCGCCGCCTGTAGTCACTTCCACGTCAGTGCAATGTCTGGCCGGCCGCTAGGTGTCACTGGGTGTTTCATATGAGTCATGGGTTCACACGATGCCGCCGCCGAGTACGTACGGGCGTTTGCGGCGCCGATGTGTGTATGGCTGTGGGCCTCGCCGTTCTAATGAATCTTACAGTCTCATCCGATCCAGTAAGGTGCCAGTATGAGCGGCCCGGCCCGGCCTGTAACGCTTTTGAGAGGCTTATATCTCAGCAACCGCTGGACCGATTGGCCTGCGGTCTTTTTTGCTGTTTTTTTTTTTTTGCTGGGTGGGAGAAGGGATGGGGCATCCCTTCTACCCCGTAATTGACTACTTTTGATACACCTCAGTGACCGTCATGGCACGTGCCACGTGAAAAGTCAAGGGTGTTCAAGCTGTTTTGCAAAAGTAGTGATTTTGAGAGGCTCATATCTCAGCAGCCGCTTGGGCGATTGACTTGCGGTAATTTTTGTAGGGTAGCAGCATCCCTTCTACCAAAAATAGGATACTCTCGATGCATGTGGGTCACCCCCAGTGCACGTGCAAAATACAACAATAAGAGGTGTCAAATTTGTTCCCATTTTAATAACTCGGTAATTACTGGCGCGATTTCGCTGAAACTTGGCATACAGGTAGGCACCCACCAGACAATGCATTCCCATGTGTTGCGGTTAAGGTGCTATTGCACGTGCGCACGTGCAGGGGGCGCTTCCAGATCTCGAGAACGGCTGGGCCGATTGCGCTCAAATTTGGTACACGGTTGGGGACCAGTTAGTAAGGTGCCGTGCAAAAGTCATTTTGGACCCCGTTTGCACGTGCCCACGTGCAGAATGCCGCCTCCAGATCTCAGGAACGGCTGGGCCGATTGCGTTCAAATTTGGCACACCGCTAGCGACCGGTTAGAAGGGTGCTTTGCACAAGCCCGTTGAAAGTACCCTCTCACCCTTCCGCACGTGCAGGGCTCACTATCTCGCTCGCTCGTTCTTCGCCCAAAAGGCGTTTTACTGGTGATATGTTTTTCTCTTTTCTACAGAACCATTTCAATTGCCGTATAGTGCTGTGAAGTTGATGAACTGTTGTGCTTCATAAACGCTGCAGGAGCGATATCTCCATAAGCGCACTAAAAGCTTATAAATAATCAACTTTCTAGACAGTTCCGGTTAATTGCACCATTGTGATTCCAATGCTTTTCGCCGCCCAACCCAAGGGCTGCGCTCCGTTTCTCACGATGTTAGCTATAGTGTTCTATGCTATTCCTGACGTTAAACACATTTTCTCTGCAGTCGAAAGGTGTGGGCGGTGAACGTTCAGGTGAGGAAGCACAAACGAGGGAAGGATGTGGACGAACTGCGCTACAAGGTGAAGCGGTTCATCGAGCACCCCGGCTACAGCCGAGCCACGCTGCAAAACGACATAGCGCTCATCGAGTGAGTCGGTATACTCGTAACCGAACAGTTCTGAATTAGTCATTCTACACAGCTTACTTCTTCACTGGTTGTTACATGTGTCTTCAAAAGTTGTTCAATATCTTTTCACACAGTTTCTTCGGCCATGTCTCTTAGTAAGAGTCTTACTTTTTTTGCTTGTTTATTACGTTGATATTCCCTAACGATTTACCTAAGCCTGTTGTTTATGTAAATGAAATGATCAAAGCAGTTCCAGACAGTCCCTGACCCTGCGCCCCTCCCTCCCTACCCGCTCAGACTGGAGGAATCGCTGCGAATTCAGCTGCGCCGCGACCCGCGGGTACGGCCCATCTGCCTACCGTCGGAGCCGTGCCGGGGCGGCGACGGGCCGGCGTGCTTTGAAGGCCGTACGGGCGCCGTGGCCGGCTGGGGCGTGCTCCGAGAACGCTCCAAGGACTACCCGGAGAACCTCCAGGAGGTGGAGCTGCCGGTGCTCACCAGCCAGGACTGCCGAGACAGTCAGCCGGAGGTCATCACCGACGAGATGCTCTGCACCAGCTACGAGTACGGCGGCAAGGACGCCTGTCAGGTGGGTGAGGTCAGAGCCGGCTGGTGATGCAGTACATATTGGTCGGGTAAAGCAGCTTACGTACTTTAATTCAGAACAATATGTACAGTAATAATAGATGTGCGTTAGTGCTACCAAGAAATAAGAACCGAGCCTGGACTGGTAATAGCTCAGATAAGTCGCAATGGCTGTAAGACGGGGATATATACCGCAATTAACTATACGGGCAGTAGCAGGTCAGTAAACAGCACCACAATATCCATTCACCGTATGTTGCTCCTTGTTTTTACATACTGGTAAGCACGCTCCGATGGGTGGCGAATAATCCCACCGAACAATAATAATGGCTCTATCCAAATCTTAGCGATCCACATAATATTTATGAAATCTTTTAAGGTAAACCGGCCCTGCATTCAGGGATGTTGACGGTTATTTGTGTGTTGGTAAGGCGACAGCGACGACCCGTTGACGGGTGTTGACGGGTCTCTCTGTGTTGACGGCTCTTGACGGGTCTCTCTCTGTGTTGTCTCTCTGTGATCTCTTTGTATTGTCGAGTGTTGATGGGTCACTTTGTGTTGACTGGGTGACATTGGTGGACTGTTCACGGTTAGTAGTGGATCCCCATTTAACAGGACGACAGTAGCCGACCGTCGACGGGTGTTCACGCGTCCTGTGTTGACGTTGTTGTCGGGTCTCTGTGTTTACGGGTGTTTACGGGTGTTGGCAGGGCGACAGTGGCGGCCCGTTGACGGTAGCAGACGGGGACGGTTTGGCCAGCCAGGTGGGTATCGTCAGCTTCGGCAAGGGCTGCGGCCACAAGGAGTACCCGGCCGTCTATGTGCGCGTGTCAGGTAAGTAACACTTGTGATTCAGCAATGGGGATGGTTGAATTCTGATTCCGCGAAAGCTCGAATGTCTCTTATGCGTAGCGCGAAGTTGAATGCAAAGTGCTTTGTACAAATAAAAGGACAAGGGAAATATTTGAAATGGACAAGCATTTGTAAAATGCCAAAAGCGCATGCTCTTACTTGGACTTTCCTTCCAGAATACTTCAAGTGGATTACAGAAAACGCCAAGTTATAAATCTCAAGGCCAGCAAAACATAGCAAGACGGATTTGAAATCAGTTCGTCCAATCAAGTTGGTGTGGTGCGTCGTCTAAACGACAACGCAGAACCAGCAAAATATATCAATTGGCATTGCAGAAAATATATCATGCATTAAGAACACGATGTTTAAACATGTAGAGTGTGCTATATAGAACGAAGTAATCTGGCCACACAGCAAGCCATTAGCAATTCATGCAGCTTCGAAATCGTACCATCCGGCCTCATTTTTTTACAAATACAAGTTCTTTACAAATTCAAGTACATTGACATTTGTTTTCTTCGCAAGCTAGTGAACCACGGCCAGATGATAAACCATGAATTCCGATAATGAGCTAAACATAAGCCAACGGCGCTTGGTGAGCTTAACCCTATTAGTGGCAGGCTCCTGGCTACCCCCTATTAGTGGCAGGGGGGGGGCTGTTTACGACCCCCCCTTGATATCTCGGGATCTAACGGGCCGATTTTCAAAATTCAAACGGCATTCGATTTTGCTCAACGTGATCTACATTTCTAAAAAATAAAAATTAAAAAATATCAATAGGGGGGGTAGAGGGGGGTAAAAACGGGCAAATTGCAGATACATTTTATACTGTTTATCACGGCCAGGTTTCTGAACCAATCTTAACGCAACTTTTGCCGATCGATAGAGAATGAACCAGGAATTCACATGGATCCTAAAAATATGCATTTTCAAAAATCATAGGCGGATACAGATAATTGAGATTGGGGGTACACAAAAAGTATAGTAAATAAGGTTTTTGTTGGTACTGTTTCTAAAAAGGGTGGTAATGGTCTTGTTATGTTATAATTTTCTTATGAGAGAACGACTAAAATTGTATTGGTAATGCATAGGCGGTGTCAGGGCACCTATGTTGGGAGGTAAAACATAACCCCCCTTTTTGGACGCCTGGATCCGCCTATTATAGCAAAAACGTGTCAAAAGAGGATGCACAATAACTGTATATGTTATCACATGATACCTTTTATTCACTGTTCGTAAAACTAGTGCAGCATCGTGATCTTCGCCCAAATGACTCGCTTCACGAATAGGACCCCCCAATTCCCAGTGCTCTGGAGCCGCCCCTGGTAAAGTTATGAACTTGAAATTTTCAGGGAATGTGCCCAATTTAGTTTTAGGAAAAGTCAGAAAATTTCAGCATCGTAGCTTCAGCGGTTTCGGAGATATTGCCGAAAAACCTGAGGGGTGGATAAAAACAACCCCCCCCCCCCCTGCCACTAATAGGGTTAACAACTTCCTTTTTAACAGAAGCTAATAGGAGAAATCGTGGCAAGTTGCCAGAGCCCTTCATCCAAATCAGACAGATGACAGCTACGGTACACCTAAAAATGATCACCCGTCCGTAAGCCTTTCCGTCAGCAGCGGTGCACCTCATTGACCTGCGGTCTGTCTGGTCGCGATTTGTCCGATAGCGGGATCACTGCCGACCGGCCGGTCGGGATCATATAGCGCGCCTCATGACCTGCGGTTACGGAAACTCGCTCTGCTCCGGTGGCGGCTGGAAATTTATGCAGCTTCTGTGACAGCCCGGTGGCTGAGCCCTCGTGGAACTTGTCTGACCCGCCCTCAATCCGACCCGTCCGCCGGAGTCGGGGCTCGCAGGGGTCAGAGAGATGGTGTTCGGTCCGACAGCCGCAGTCGCAAAGTGGGCCTCGCAGCCAAACGAACGGCCATGGGACCCGGAGTGAACGCTCCGCCGCCTCTACTCGCTTCTCAGGTAAGTGCTGGGTGGAGACTGGAGAGATATAATTTCATAGGATATGACGATGCAAGGCGTATGTATGCTTGTACTTATTTCACTTAAATTTTTGTAGCTTTGTTAGACTTTTCTGGCCCATGCACTGCATAATAGCACTGTAACGACCTATTAAAGAGTTTAAAAAAAAGAGCGTAATGCTACATTTAATGCTCATCATCATCATCGACGCATATAAACCTCATAGTTGTGCTGGTGGCAAACATTATATGCTTTAACCCGCGCGGGGCTGGGGGGGGTAAATTCTACCCCCCTCGCGAATTTTTGCGATATCTCAAAAACGGCGGCGCGCAGCGCCGCCAAACTTTCAGTACCTTTTCTTACATCAATTTGACACGTTCCCTGAAAATTTGAGCGAAATCCGTCGGAAAATTTTTGAGAAATTGACGTTTTAGTGACGTCATGTTCGCCATTTTCGCCTCAAAACACGGCAAAAGTTCAAACGCCGCTAACATCTTCATTTTTAAAGGAATCAAGACGTAACAAAAAAGTTATACGTAATTTTACTTTGTCTATCAAATGGCTATCTCGGTTTTTTGAAAATTTTGGATTTTGGCCTAAATTTTTAAAAAAAAAACTGACTTTTTTGGGAAAATCATTATAAAATCCAAAACTTTGAGTCTATCGAAAAAACCGGAATATATGTCAGAGAAGTGGTCTATGTGCACCTACATACCAAATTTTAGAAGAATCGGTTCAAAAATGTGGGAGTTATTCAAAATTTTATGACGTCACGACACACAAATGTTTTGAAAAATGACTTTTTTGGAAGTTCTAGACCTCGTACGGAAACAAAAATAGCACCATTCGATTCGCCGTGAAAAACTGCATCAGATAGACACCTTTTTAGGCCTTAACAACCAACTTCAAAATTTGACCTCACTTGACCTGACCTTGACCTGACCTCGACCTGAAATTCATCCAGAGGTGGTCCATATCACTTATTGAGTGTGCCTATTGAATTCTATGAGTAAAATGACCCATAAAACATGTGTCGCACATGCCCTTTTCTATATTTTGTTTTTTGGTGACCTGACCTGACCTGACCTGACCTTGACCTTGACCTCTGAATGATATTGTATGCAACGAATATTGTCTTGGTAGCCTAAGAACACGTTTTGGGCGATCAGTCTCAGTCCATGACTCCATTCTTCGGCAACTACGGTGCAAGGCCGATACTGTAGAAACTTGCAATTTGTACCCTTGACCTGACCTTGACCTTGACCTCAAACTTTAAATTAAGTACATGTTTTTAGTAGTTCGTGATGAGAGCTTTCGACTGGCGTTTGAATTTTCCAAATCGGACCATTAGTTCGGGAGATAACAGGAGGGGGGGGGGGGTAAAATTTACCCCCCCCCCCAGCCCCGCGCGTTCGGCTGGAGACCCCAGCCCCGCGCGGGTTAATGTATCGACTATTCAGACGATATAAACACTCTTCAACGGTGCCTAAGACCAAAATAATTGCTTCGACTAGATCACTTTCACAACTCCTGCAAAACAGCGGAAGTTGAGGTTGGATACACAAGTTTAAGATTCAGGAAGGACAGAAGTATGTGTTTCAAGCACATTCTCAATAGGTCGTAGCACCAAATGTTTTAATTCTGCAATTTATGTGAATGCGAAATAAGACGAAAAGGTGACTTGGTGTTGTTCTCGGGTGCCAGCGTCGGCGTCGCCCGGTCAAGCATGCTGTGCCGCATCGCACTGGAGACTGCAGGCGCGCACACAAACGTATCCCGGACCATTCCGAGGCGTGGAAGCATTAGCTCTTCGTTCCCGAATGTTTGTTGTTTTCACTGTGCCATGATTGACTTAGTGATGTATTGTGCGTAGCTTATCAGAGCTTTTTGACATCTTTTATCTTTTCCACCTATCTTCCCCTTCGATTAAAAGGGACAACCATTTTCAATCCAAATAGGAAGAAATACTTCAAGTGAGGACGAGATACAGATAAGAACGGCACTGTTTCCGCCTTATCAGCTATTGCCCAACACGACGAAATCACTAGCTCGATATAAAACTTGGCAGGTATTCAAAAATTAAACTATTCATTATTTTCATCACTGCGCTCGGCGTGACACCACAGCCTGCTGACACATCTGTAAGAATCTTGGCTGACACCGACTCCTGTTGAGCTCTCTCAGACCATTGCCGTGCTGCTGGGCGTGCTCGTGCTGCTGGCGGTACCCGAGGTCGGAGCCTCTGGGTCATCATCATCTGAAGCTGGACTGCCAGACGCCTCTATACACAGTCGGAGGTTCATGACCCCTTTCCGTCTGCGGCGGACCCCGCTGCAGTATGTCGATGCAGACTCTGACCGTAAGTTATGGAAAATGCCAACAGGAAAACGATGGGTGGGAAAATTTCTTACGACAGAGATAAGCTTAAATAGAAGCAGAAAACGCTTGATTCGTATGCAGCTTATGAGGGTCGCCGTAAAATATAATGGAGTACCTAATTGCGCATCCACTAGCAAGAAACAATAAATAATTATCAAATGAGACTGAAAAACAAAGAAGGGAGCTAGAATTGTCACTATGCAATAACATTCTACCTTTGCTCGAGCAATGCCTAGAAGTAAATCAAGTGGTAAATGTTCAGTATGAGATGGACCTGTTTTCTGAAAGGAAACAAAACAGAAATTATCAGCTGAATAAATGTCGCTCTACCTTTCAGTACCAAGCAGCGGTCGTTTCGAGCTGGCTCCGGGTGTAAGTGTCACCTTTTCATCACCAAACTACCCCGAAGACTACAGCCCACGTGTCTGGACATCATGGCTGTTCACGGTAAGCACAAATGGGGCATTGGTCCAAGTACAATAGTTGCATTCCTGCCTTATATACATATGTAATACCTATTCCACGACCAATGCGCGATAGGAGGATGAATAACTTCTAGCCCTAGAAACTCAAAGCCATTGCTAGCGATGTTCTACTTAACTGATTAACGATTGCCTTATACCGCTTGATTCTCAATATCTTAACCACTCGTAAATTAATCAAATGTATTATGATCAAGAGTCGGTACAGTACAGCAAACAAGCAACTCCTATTTTCGAATACATCACATCCTATAGCATCGAATTTGAGTTCATTTGTGGAGGAAATCCAGCCAAAAACAGTCAATTCTGGAAGCAGGCTTGCAAGTGTAATTCAGATGTTATCCAAAGTCCTATCATATATTATAATCGTCGATGAGGCTTATATTCTCGATGTCATGAAATGGTTTCAAGCTAAAAATATTCCAGTCACAACATATACCTGCCAATTTTTTCTTCAAAAGTACAGACGCTGAATACCTACAAGTATGTATTCAGAGTGCAATGCCTTACGAGGGACTCAAAAGAGTGAGAACGTCAAATTGCTCTGAACTCACGAGCTTCGTGTGTCTCGGTTTCTTGATAGTTAGAACACATTAACAAGTTCAAAAAACTGTTGATTTGGAAATTGATCTCTCAATTGTCGAACACAGCGATATGATACCAGCGTGCGATGTCGCCTGGCATCTGTCCCACGTGGAGGTACCGACCGACGAGGGGTTCCGGGCACCGCAGGATCCTGGAGAACCAGCGGTCCACGAGCGGACCCCTCTCCCTGAAACACAGGGCCGACAGGACGTCACTCCTGTCGAACGGGTGAGATCCCACGCGGATCTCAGTGAATTCCAGCGGGCTCAGAATGTCGCCGCTGGCCACGTAGAGCAGGCGGTGAAAGGCTCTCTCCGTGTTAAAGTCGTAGACTCTCCAGCTCATGTCGCCGTAATCGTGGATTTCTGTACCCGGCAGCAGATCGATCAGCAGGTGCTCCCCGATGTGCTCGCAGAGCTGTGGCACCCGAGTTCTGCAGGACAAGTCGTCCAGTCCCGCGGAGGTTCTGTTGTAAAAACAGCATTCCCGTTGGCCCTCTGCGCCGCTGGGCTCTCCCGCGGCCCACAGTGGCGAGTCGCTGCCGATCTCAGTGCCGGTGACTGTGACATAGAGTCCCTCATCCAGCGCCTCATGAACCCCGACCCCGACTCCAGGGTACGATGAGATGTCAGTGCCATAGGAACCTGCCAACTGACCGGTCTCCAGCGCCTCCAGAATGTCATCGACCAGCTGCCGGCTGTCTGGGGAGTGGTGGACTCCTCCGACATTGAGGCAGCTCGCGGCGGCGTACACGCCGGGAACGGCGCGAGACAGACGGAGGAACCGTCTAGAGATGGCCGTGTACCCTTCAGGCGGAGGTGCGGGAGGAGTGGGGAGCTCCCAGACGTAGGTAACGACCCCAGTCGAGGGAGGTTCACCACCGGTGGTGGTTGTCGTTCCCGTTTCACTAGAGGTTCCAGTTGTGTTTTCGTGGCCAGTAGAGGTCCCAGTGGTGTTCTTGCCCGTTCCCTTGCCGTTCGATGTGTTTTCTCCCGAGCTTGTACCGGTGACCGATTCAGTTTCGGTTGCAGTTGCAGAGCCACTCAGAGTTTCTGTTCCGAGGAGCCCAGATTCAGTGTCTGGGGCGTTTCCAGTGGTATCCACCTCGGGAGCCGCGTAACGTCGGCAGTGAGAGGTCTCTGTCTCGAACTCGACAGCCATACAGTCGACGGTGTGGCGGCACGCTTCCTGACAGCGCTGCAGCGACGGCTCTGTGGTGGCCCCGATCCGCGGCCACCCCTCCACGGCGGTGGCCAGATTCTCCACCCAGCGTCCGTTGGGCCGACAGAGCAGCTCCGTCACCGCGCTCCAGCCTTCCTGACAGACGCAGCTGTTCTCCGTACCACACACGGCGCCGCTGACCAGTAGGGTGCAGTCGGCATCGTCCCGGCACGGCGCCTCCAGCCAGCTGACCCCGCGGCGCCGGCTGGTGCTCCACCTCCCGGCAGAGACCCGCCCACCACCGTCCGGTAGGAGGACATCAGTGAGGCTGCAGTCGCCGGTGGAGACGTGGTGCTCGAATCCCATGCAGCGGACGTCCGTCAGGCAGCGGTGACGGCAGTGGCAGGGAGTCGTGTCCGGTAGGAACAGGTAGCGGATGCCCTCGGTGTACCTCTGCGATCCAGTGGTGATGTCGTCAAAAGAGTATGCCACGGCAGGCAGCTGGACTTCACGAGAGCGCAGCAGTTGAAGATGGGTCGACGGCAGGCGAGGGAGGTTCTCTGAGGGGCGGGTCGGAACGAGTGCTGCTGTTGCTTCCGTCGCCATGAGGACGGGCTCGGAGAGCATTTCGGTGGTGTTAGACGGCATCGGCTGCAGTAGAACGGTGTCCAAACGGACGACCGTCACTAGCAACAGTGACAGGAGCGCCACAGGACGGCGACCGCGTCCCTCCATCGCGGCCTGAAGACTGGGAGGCTTTTGGACGCAATTGTTTGTAGGAGGATATTATCGGGCTCATTTGCATCACTTTTTCATTATAGCGACGCTTAATTACAGACTCGCCAAAACAACCACAACAAATGAGAGCCTAGATAGAGGGCAGATTGCGCTTAACCCGCGCCCTGCTGGGGGGGGGGGTGTTTGAACACCCCCCCTTGTGTTTTTTTGCGAATATCTCAAAAACGGCGGCGCGGAGCGCCGCCGTTTTTGGTACACCTTATCATACATCAATTCTACACATGTTGTGAAAATTTCAGACCAAGGTCATTCAAGGTCAGGTCACCAGGTCACTTGAAGTGACCTCACCTCATAAAAAGTTTCAATGTCTGTCATAGCTACACCGAGTGACCGATCGCTTTGAAACTTTCAGCGATTGATAAGGGTAACAGTATCTATGAAATGTATATCTCGGAATTTTGATATCGGTGACCTAAGGTCAGGTCAATTTTGCGACCTCCCCATTATAAGTCAATGGGAGAAAATTGAAATGCGCCTCTTTTGGACGGAAGACATTATAAACACTCCCAAACACTGAATTACAAGTGGTTTAGACACACTGAACATGAAAATGGTGTCCGTGACCCTTGTTTATGCCCTGAGGTCATCTTAGGTCACGAATGGTATCTAACAGTTTTTCGCAAATAACTTTTGATAGAGGCATGCTAGAGCGATGAAAACGCCTTAGATGTGTTCAGCTCGACGATACGGATCGACTGATATGCAACATGACCCCTTCCGGTTAGGTCATGACCTTGACCTGAGGTCAAATTTTCAAGTTGACCTTTCAAGGTCAAGTTATAGTTCATTCGATGCGTCTTGACGAGAGGAACACGATGCCGGTAAAAGTAAGCTCGTACAAGGCTTGGGTCAAAAGTTATTGCCGAAAAACTGTTTCCGAAAAAAATCGGCTATTTTTGCAGTTTTTGCCCCCTGCAGGCAAAACCGTTGACGTTAGGTCAAATCTGAGAGAATTACTCAGAAAGGGCGTTAATAGGGCTATCGAATGCGCTTTTCCGCGGCGCTGTAGCTCTGTTGGTTCCCGAGTTATTTGTTGGCTTCTTGGAAATTTTCGATATTCGACGTGGAAATCGGCGAAATTTTGCCTTCAATGACCTCTGGTGACCTGACCTTTGACCTGACCAAAAAATTGACCGAAGTGATTTCGTCATTATTTTTGACGCTCTTTCGAACGCCGCCTTCCGCGTATCGCTACGTGGCCCAGGAGCCGAGTTACAAGGGGGGGTGTTCAAACACCCCCCCCCCAGCAGGGCGTGGAAATCCAGGACCCCCAGCCGGGCGCGGGTTAATTGAGATGCTTATCAGCCTTTATTAATATGCACGCCTATTGCCTATTGCCTTTGTTGCATGGCTACAAAAGTCAAAACAACATGAGACAAACACTAAAAGACGCTATCGAAGTTCTAGCGAGACCTTGCAACTATATTCGCATCAAATATGTATGTATTTGGGGTCGAATTCGATGCAGCCTTCCTACAGGTGAACCGTGAAAACGTCAATAAAAAGCAATCACCCCTTTACTTTTTTAACAATACTCAACTGCATGGACGATTGCTTTTTACTGACGCTTTCAATTGACGCCCAGTGGAATATTCAATGGTTTTGTTTGAATCGACTCTGTTGATTTCGCAGTGGCCTTATATTTTGGGAATGCGAAAATACAGCACTGCTACCACATTAAAGGGAGATAATGAGCTTTCTTTTTTCTTAAATAAAAATTACTCGACATCTATACTATTTCTACTGTAGTTTCTATAAAATATGAAAATTTCCTAGCACATTTTCGTATGTGAAAAAGGTTTTTATTTTTGCAAAAAAGAAGCAGTACTTGCAGTACTTGTAACACCCACCGAAATGCGTTGTCCTTCTCTATAAAAAAGTCGCAGTATATGGCGCTTTTGTTTCAAACAGCGACGCTTGGGTTTTTGTTTATGTTATCGCCTTGTCGTTGCTTGGTTGTAAGGATTCTAATTTGAATTAAAGTTAATTCGGTTTAGAATTAATTAGATTCTAATTCGGGGGTACATAGTGCCTACTCTTCTTTGTTTCCAAGTATTATTTTGCGCCACAAATGAACGGCATGCGCCAGAAACGCAGCCAAATCTTGCGATTGCGACTACGAAATTCATTATTTTGACCTCAGAGCCTGAAGCGAAAAATACAAGCATATTTATTTCGAAAAGACTTCAGGTTTGTCGAACGGTGTTATGAGAATTTTGATAACAGTACTGCATAAGTTTTTCAGTGATGCCGCAAAAGTGTTGTATCTATCTTCTTTTATTGTGCAGTCGGCGGGACCGATTCAAAATTGAGTCGTTGCTACTAAAATAGCAGCATATGGCGACAGATGATGAACAGGAAAAATAGTTGCGTAAATTTAGACATAAACCACCCCCAAACCATGAATATCTTTTGAAGGCACTATAGACGACCATTAACTAACTAGATGTGATGAAGATCAAATGTAATGAATACGCTCATTTTACAAAATTACATGCAAGTACCAAAAAGTGATGTAAGTACTTATTCAACGGTCATTTTCAGCGCTCCCCGCTAACGTGACTTCAAGTTGAGATATTTGCGGCAAGGTACCGAATTGAGCAAAATGGTTTTAATTTACATTATAACTTGTTGTGTTTTGTCAGAAAATGGTCCTAACTCAGATTTTGTGGAAAAAGGTCATAATCTCCCTTTAAGCTGTTGACGCATTCCTCCGTCCGATGTGGCTCTGCAGGCGATACTTACAAGCTGTTCACTAATTGCCGCAGTCGTAAGGCTGATGGCGATAAGTCGCTGTACTTTCCAGCAAGTCACGTAAGCCGCCTAATGTCAACGACCTATGTCCCGTTTGGATTACTCAGCGCAAGTGATATTTCTATAGAAAATCCGCAAACAGGCCACTGGCGGTCATCACACAACATACTTTTCAGTTTTTGCCACACATCTAATGGCGTTTTTTGTATGTATTTCAGACTGCGGAGCAAGGATCTCTAACGCTGAGCTGTCCCGACTACCAGCTCTCCGACCAAGATACTCTGCTAGTACGGCGGGGTCAGGATCAGCGCGTCAAATTTGATAAGGACGCGTCTCCCGAGGTGTACTCCGACGCACCGCTTTTAGTGGAACTGCGCACACGGGGTAGAGGCAGAATGCAGTGCATGGTTCAAGCCCTAAATGACGGCACGGTGACCCAGCAGATGGGCGCTGCGACGGTCGACAGCCGTCAGCCGGTGGACTCTCAGACGAGACCTCAGCCCAGTGAGAGCGGCCCCGCGTCGACAGAGAACCGACTGCTGCTCGGTGAACAGTTACCATCTGTACAGAACAGACCGCTCGGGCAGCCAGTACCGGCGGTACAGAACAGACCACTCGGTCAACCAGTACCGGCGGTACAGAATAGGCCACTGGTGCCGGAGACGGGAGCTATAATTGGGGAGACAAAACCTCTCTTCCCCCAGACAGCAGCAAACAGGCCGCTATTTCAGGCAGCGGGTGCCATAGCGAAGCCATTATTCGTCCAGGAAGTTGAATTTGGCATCAGGCCGCTGTTCGTAGCTCAGGGTCCCGTGAATGTTATTTCCAAGCCGTTGATTGCCCAGCAGAAACCCGTTCTGGCCCAGAGCCGGCCTCTGTTTCCGGCCGGCAGTCCAGTACTAACCGAGACAAAGCCACTTCTGGGTCTGCTATCTGCCGATGAATCGGAAAATAAACCACTTTTTCCACCGGTAGGACCGGCACGAAATGTAAAGGAGACGCAAAAACAACTACCAAAAGCAAAAACACGCCAAACACCTTTAAATAACACGTCGAATATGGAACCAGTAGAAACTGACGAAATGGAACCAGAGGATGACTATTCAACCGAACTTCAAAAGTCGTCATTGAACAGCGAAATATGTGGAAAGGTGTTACAAAATACAAGAATCATTGGAGGCGACCTCGCAAAAGAAAAGGCTTACCCTTGGCTGGTAAGTAGCCAGGCGTAAGCCATGACTCTGACCAAACTTTTCCAGCCCGCATTACCAAATAAACATTAATATCGTAGAATGAATATCAGATGAATTTTCGACCACGCACGAGCCTGCATTGGAAATGTATCCACCTGTTCTTTTTTATGTTCACTCATTTTCTTTCAGGGTGCGGTGGCCAGCAGCATTGGTTCAACTCCATTCTGCGGCGCGGCGATCATCAATGAACGGTTCCTAATCACAGCCGCTCACTGCGTCAGAAGGTCAGTTCACCTACAGCGACACTCGGCGGTCTGCTAACAGAACAATGCAACTAAGAGGCCGGCACATACACGGCCGCATGTCATAACTGAAGTGGCCGAACCAACTGATGCATACCTTACCTACATACCTACCGTTTGCATGCGGAATATCGTTAGAGTATGCTTATAGCTAGGAAAAAATATAGCAAAAATAAATGATCCGTACTTTAGAACTAATAGAATAAATGTTAAATTAGCAATGTTTTCTTCGTATAAACCAGTATCATTAGCTTGATCTCAAATGCTAGGCGAAAGCGGAGTGATTGGTAACAACAATTACACCTACCGACTACCGTCCACGACTCCACGCTAATAACCGCTTTGCGCCTCCATCTACATCCTCACGGCTGCCTCAGGAGGGAGCCAAAGCGTGTCAGCGTGCTGGTAAAGAAGTGGAAGCGGTTCCTGGACAGCAGCGAGCTCCGTCTGAGGCTGGAGAACATCACCATCCATCCCGATTACAACGACACCACCCAGTTTAACGACATCGCAATACTTAAGTACGAGGCAATCTCATGAGCTGGTTTATCTTCAACGTTACCAAATCCATGGCCAGCGAACGCTGTTTTGTTAAATTATTAATCTTACGAGCTGTTTCATCAAATCAGAAAATGAAACATATGCTTTTTACATGTAAGAATATTCATTTTCGGTGGTTACCATATCTGTGTGTTCGTTATCCTCAATCATCGTGTACCTAATGCCACAAGGTAAACACATATGACTTGTGCTGTGTGCATACAAGCCGAATGAATGAATGAATGATGTTAACGTATATAAATTAGGCACGTCATGACATTCCTAATTCGAAATGATCCCGCGAGGTCCACTTAAAACATAAATTACTGCACCCAAGCAGCACCCCAGAACCTCCCACCACCCGCCCGCCCCCTATGTCGTGCAGGACGCGCCGCTCGATGGCGGACCTGTTCTCGGAGCCGGACGGCCGGGTGCGTCCCGTCTGTCTACCCACGGCGCGCTGCTCCGGCGCCGACGCCGCCCAGCCCGCCTGCTTCGCCGGCCAGCACGCCTCGGTCGCCGGCTGGGGCATCTCCAACACGGCACTGTTCTCGTCGCCGGCCGCGCTGCTGCACGTGCAGCTGCCCATCCTGGAGAACGCCGCCTGCCGCGCCAGCTACCACCACATCTTCCGCATCACCGACCGCATGCTGTGCGCCGGGGTGGACAAGGGCGGCAGGGACACGTGCCAGGTGAGAGGCGGCGGGGACGAGGATTTTTGTAGGAGTTTGCCATGAGATCAGTCACACCGAGAGATTCCAGAAATGAGAAATCCTACCTAGAAAATATGCCAAACTGTAGGTGGCCAAATACGCTATTTAGTTCGCCTTTATTTACTACAAGGCCGATCTTCAGTTTACAAGTATGTTGCCCAAATAGATGTTTACGTTTGGACCCGGCTCCATGTCCAGTCCAGTTCCACCCATACAAACATGTGTTTTTGCGTTTCTATGTAACCTGTACTCAGCTGTCAGCCTCCTACATGCAAGCGAAGTGAATGACAGACGTCTGCGTCGTCTGCTGCAGGGTGACAGCGGCGGGCCGCTGGCGGTGACGGACGAGAACGGCGTCTTCACCATGGTCGGCGTCGTCAGCTTCGGCAAGGGCTGCGCCGAGCCCGGCAGCCCGGGGGTCTACACCAGGGTCTCAGGTGAGATCTGAAATAAACACTCTTTCTGTCGCGGTTCTTAAAACTTCCGGGGTTTGCATTTGACAAATTGCAATGCATCGATTCTGCAGTGATTAAACTAAAGTAAAGCGCGTCGTTGTCCCAAGCTACATGAATAGCCTATAGGATAAGCTATCAAAGAAATGTTTCCTTCTTTTCAGAGTACTTGGACTGGATCATCGAAACAACGCGCCTGTAGATGTCCAGATTGGACTTCTGATGGCGCAAACGCGCACATTGTAACTCAATCATTGTATTTATTTATCTTTCGCGATAGTTTTGATGTAGCTGCACACGCACAGTGCACGTACCGGTACGAGTCTGCATGCGTATGTATGACAGTGTGGGGAGGATAAAACTGCTACTTAAAAAAAAAAACGGGAAAGGTCATTAGCTTTGTGGTCGTGTCGTGACCGACCCCGGTAGACATGATCACGTCACGTCATTCCAGCTCGAACTATGTAGGGTCTACGGTGGTCGGTGGCCCAGTATCAGCGAAATGATCGCTCGTTCCGAACGTGACATTGCCACCATGCTCCGTCTCACCACCTGTCCGGACGCTCCTGAGATGCTGCGTCGCCGAGTGTTAACGCTGTCCCATTTGTCGTCTCGCTCGTACGCGCAAGTGAGAGTAGGCAGATGGGGCTGCCCAGAGTACAGACTGAATTCGCCAGAGCGGCTTTCTCCACAGGGCGGCGAAATTGTTTTAATGTTTTTACGCTGGATGCTCCTTGCCGAGCTGTAGTTTTAACTCAATATCTTGCGCAATTTATTTACAACTAAGTTTGCTTGGATTAAGCATGATTGTATTGTATTTTATGGTTACCTTGTTCCTCTTATCACACGAAAGGTATTCATGTGCATTATTTTTTATTACATAGTAGACACAAAATAATATATGTTATGGAGGGTTTGAATACAGTTTATGTATCTCCATCTGTACCTGACTCTTGAGCCTTCAAAACCGCTGTGCCAGATTATTGACAGAAACGTTTTTTTTCAAACCCGAATAAGTGCATAGAGATCCTATACCAACAGTGCACACTGTACAATAAATGCACCTCTCAATGCCTTCAGCTGAACGAACCTCGAGATAAGACGACTAATTCACGACTCAAGTTCGACTCATGCTCTAGACGACTCAAGCTCTAGCCGAGACGACTCAAGACCTATTCATTCAGCGCTTATATTACGACATGCCCTGTCTTTCTTCGTAGTTCGTAGTTAACCGACGTTCTTACTCACGCCACAGCCCACAACGCCACCGAATTCAGAAAAAAAGCGGATCTATGGGGGCGTCAGATGACCGAAGTAGCTGACGTCGCCTACACAAATTCATTCTTCGTACTCGCTGATTCGGCGACAGGCTGACACACATCGCACACTCAAATACACATCTAGCACAATACAAATCACGGGCCAATGACACACCAATGACACGCCATATCAATCCACATCACCGGGCACCAGCTGACGGGATTTGGGGGTGGCCCGGCGTCCCGGAGACCAACTAGCCCGGTGTCCCTCGGAGGGCTGATAGCGGCGTCGGTACACCATTCTGTCTCGGCGTCGGTAGTGGTACACCATTCTGTCTGTCTTGTTTTTATTTTGGAGAAGCGCTTTAATTTTAGTTTAACCCTCGCCGGCCGAGGGGGGGGGGCGGGTGCCGCCCCCCCATAGGGTTTTTTCGCGATAGCTCCGAACACGCTGGCGATAGAGAACTGAAACTTGGCATACCTGACCTTTGATCCAAGCCGCATCTTTTGACACCAACCGCATTTTTGGGTCAGGTCAGGTCACTGACCTATGACGTCATAAGTGAACCTCTGCACGGTCTTCAGATGTCGCAACTTCGCAACGCCCTCACTGCCAGAGGAGATGTCACAGGGAAATGAAACTTGCAGGATCTAGTATCCATTATGAGTCCCACAACTTGTATATCTCGGATTTTTCCTAAAGGTCATATGAGGTCAGGTCATTTTCGTGACCTCACCATTATAAGTCAATGGGGAAAAATGAAAACTGCTATTCTGGCGCCGGGAACGATCTCCAACTATCTCAAGCACACAGAATCGTGATTTTATTCACTCCTTGCAAGGTTAGATGCGTCACTTTTGCAATGTTGACCTTGCGTGACGTCATTTATGACGTCATCAAGGTCATATTAGTTTTTCGTCAATAACTCTTGATCAAATTGAGCTAGCGAGTCGGAAAAGCCACCAATGGACTCAGGAAGACCTGCCGAATCGAATGATATGCGACATGACCTATTTCGACCAACTTCGTGACCTGGGGGTGCTGACCTGACCTTGACCTGAGGTCAACACCCCAAGTTGACCTGACCCGGACAAAAAGTATACCATTCGACGCGCCTGAGCGAGACAAACACGATGCTGCCAAAATCGGCGCTCTGCGGCCGTTTTTTGCGAAGTTATTCACCAAAAACTGACCCGTACCTTGGGGCACTTGACCTGACCTCAGAGGTCACCGGTTGACCTAGGACCTTAAAATCGGGTACCAATCTCTGCGTCTCGTAACGGCGCACACGCTCGTTTTTTCCGCGACGCGCTAGCTCCACCAGGGGCGAAACGGCGAGGGGGGGTCGTACCCGCCCCCCCCCCCCCCTCGGCCGGCGCGTATGTAGAAAACCAATAGGTCCGGCGAGGGTTAAATCTAATGCCTACCTATGCACGATTACATACGTTTATTCCTTTGTTTCTGTCAAACATGTAAAATAAACTGAAATGAGGTGAATTTTGAAGGTGAGCGACGCGCCCTTTTATGCACTTTTACAAACGGACGTAACATTTCGTGCTCTAAAATCATTGAACGATTTTTCCACCTGTTGCACGTTGCACCTCCCCCTCCCCCTAAAAAACACACAATCCACGCTACTTATCATCTCCCAACGTCTCTCCCGTCATCAGTCCTTAGCACCCTGCCCTCCGCTTGTGTCTCTGGTCATCTTTCAATGTCTCATTCGTCTCTTCCCATGGCTTCATCTTTTCGATGTCTCTCCTCATCTCCCTGGTCATCTCTCCCAATGTCTCCCTGCTCATCTCCAAATGTCTCACCGGTCATCTCCACCCAGGCGCACCATCTGTCGTATCGGCGGCGTCAGCTGCGGTGACATGCGCCAGAGTGGTGCCAGGTGCGCCAGTTTCACCGACACGGCGTCACCACCGGCGCCCGGTGCGGCTCTCTATGTAGGGAGACACACCGACTGAATGCCATCAGTACGGACCGAGGCGTGAGAAGCGGTGGTCCGCTAGCGGCGGAACTGACCGCCACTGCTGGAAAAGATCCGCCGCTGTTTGGCCCTGATCAGTCGCTGACCAGTGGAGATCGTACGCTTTACTGCAAAGACCGGACCCCGTTCAGTGTTAAACCGCGAGCCTGCGAGGGTGGGCGTCCTGAGAGACGGTTTTGCGTGCGAATAATAGAAGTGGAGGCTGTCGGTTAGGGCCACAGACTGCGAGTAAAGTTTGTGTCGTGATCGGACACTGGTGATTGGAGAGGTCGGAGCAGGAGCTTACGGGAGCCTACAGGAGCCAACAGGAGCTAACAGGAGCCAGCAGTGGACAGAACGACTGGAGGAGTACAGCAGGAGCTTCACCATGGAACGCAGGAATCGGGTGAGTTTGGTACGATTTCTTGGACAGCCGGGGGGACCAACTGGGACTAGTGGGACAAGCTGCACTGTTTGAAAAAAGTTTAGCATCCATGTCAAAAACCAGCTCCCTGTACCGGCTTATTTTAAGCACCCTAAATGGGTGCAACTATTTACATTTAAATTACCAATGGGTGCAATTTTTACAGTGTGTGATCAAGTGGGGGCTGGTGAGATTGCTGGGGAAGGTGGCTGAACCAACTGGGACTTGTGGGACGAACTGGGACCAAGCGGGGACTGGCGGTTCGAACTGGGACAGCAGTAGCACCAATCAGTGTGCCGTGGCTTATCGAAACGTATGCATTTTTACATGAACCCTAAGCGAGCTATGATGCGCTCATTCGTTTTACAATCGGCAATTGTGCTTGAAAGGCACATACTAAACCTGGAATGCTGGGAAACTTTGATACCTACATGTTTTGCGCGCATGATTTAAAAATTTCAGCCTCAGGTCACCCAAGGTCAAGTCATGAGGCGTTTTATCTCTTTGCTTACATCTTACCTCACAAAGTAAGCGAACTGAGGTCGTCTCTTTCCTGATTTTAGAAATGACATTCATGAATTAATTGCCTAGGCATTCTGTATTACCGGAATTCAGATTAATTTTGCTATTTCTTCACTGCAAGTTAACCCGCACCCCACTGGAGGGGGGGGCTATTCATAGCCCCCCTCCCGTTTTTTCTGCAATAACTTCCAAACCGCTTGACGTATCGACGCCAAACTTTCAGTACCTTCAGCTGCATTAATTTGACACCTTGTGTCAAAATTTGAATTTCGTAGCTACCATAGGTCGGCCGGAAATGACGTCAGAGTGACGTCATGTTCGGACGATTTCGACGCAAAATATTGAACCACGGCAATCGTTCCCAAGGGCTCAGTTTTTAAGCTAGATCCAATTTCTTTGCATGAGAGGACTCTAAATAGACTGCGCTATTAACCCTCGCCCTGGCAGGGGGGGTCGATGCGACCCCCCTATTTTTCGAAGATAGCGTAAAAAGCCAAATTTGACACAGCCTATGGGGCAACCTTTTTACATATGACCTGAAAATTTCAGGTCCGGGTGACCTTGGGTCAGGTCACCAGGTCAGAAAAACCGGTACAAGGTCATGGTCAAATTTCAATTTTCTTTTTGCACCTGTCCAACTCACAGTTTTCGACTGATTTCCTTCAAACTTTCAGGATGTTCTAAGTTCACCGAGTTGTATAACATATAGTCCGTTTTTTTTTAGGTCACTGACCTGAGGTCAGTTAGAGGTCATTACGTCGTAATGTTAAGCCTATGGGAAAATATTAAATTCGGAAAATACTGGAGATATCCGCTTCGTTTGATCTTTTTTGTGGTTTGAAACCACGGTACTTAACAGCAGGTCACTTGGTGGTTCTTTGTTTGGTGTACTTATCCATGGGTCAGGTCAAATGAGGTCAACTGAGGTCAAATGACGTTTTTGCCAATAACTTGGCACATAATGACGCTAGAGCTTAAAAAATGGTATCATTGTGTTCCTGGTGATCAGCCGAATCAAATGATATGCGATATGATGCAATTTGGCTAACTTAAACTTAATTTATTAAGTTAAGTTTACTTAAAATTTAAGAAAAACTTTAAGTACACTTAAGCAAACTAAAAAGTATATCATTCGACGCGCCTTGACGTGCTGAGTTCACTGGTGCTTTTCGTTTTGCTCTATCTTACTTAGATCAAAAGTTATAAGCGAAAAACTTTTGACCTGTTTTTAGCGAAATTTTTACATTTATACCCCCCAAAACCCCCCTAAATATTGACCTAGAGCAACCAAATTAGCACATAGGCGAGAACTCCGGGGGGCCCACCTACCTACCAAATTTGGTGTTTCTAGGTGCCATAGGAGCCAATCGCGAGGGGGGGTCGCATCGACCCCCCCCCCCCCTGCCAGGCCGTGTTATGAAAAATGCCCTGCCAGGGCGAGGGTTAAACTGCAATCTCGAATTTTCGAAATTTTGGAATTTTGAAAAAAAATGTATATAATAAAATTCAAAATTTACAATTTTACATTTTTTCAAAAAGTTTTTGACTTTTCGAAAAAAATCGGAATATATGTGATAGAACGCGTTATTATGACTAACTCTAGCAAGTTTTAGCTAAATATCTTTAAAAATGGCCAAGTTATACGCATTATTGCAAAAAATCACAATTATTAATTTTTCAAATCAATTTTTCACCACGTATTTGACATCGTACGCCAATATAAATAGCACCATCGTGCTCCCGAGCTCAAATTGCATCCTATAGACACCTTTTCTGTTGAAAAATTATAACTTCAAAATTTGACCTTTTCGACCTGAAAGTGACCTGACCTAAGCTAAATTCGACTCAAACTGACCTCGAATGACACAGACGACATCAAATTCGAAATCTTTGG